TAAATTTACCTGCCTACCTCTTCTGTTTTGGTTTGGTTTCCTGCCTGAATTGAAGCGGGTCACTCACAGCTTATGAAAAAATTTGAGCTCAAGTCGAAACTATTGCTGCACGGGCGAGCCTTCGGGGCGCTTCACAGCTGATGTGACCGAGACTGTAAGTTAACAAGGGCACCGATTAGAAATGCTCATCATTCCACGACGCTTCGCGGCGAATTATCACACTTCCACATCTGGTGTGTTCCAGGTGTTACTTGAGCCAAGGCTTATAAATAAGCCGCGAAGTAAAACGATCCATTCTGCTGGACAAAAAATAATAATAATACTTACAAGTCCAGTAGCAACAAAGCCAGGTCACCATCAGTCCGTGATTTCATTGCCTCCTTTAGGAATGAGTGTAGACTGTGCCAGATTTCACTCAGGTTTTAGCTCTTTGCTTCCCCTCCAAGGACATTATTCTCTGAGTTTTACTTCCAGGCTCCACCATGATGCCAACAAAAAAGCAAACCTCTTTTTTCTTCTTCTTGTGTTTTTTAGTGATGGTCGCTGAATGGAAAAAGCTAACTGCTAGCATTTTATTTCCTACCGGCACAAAAAATAGCTAACAGTGTTAACACTAGAACTCCCAAGGCAGCCATTTGGACTGTTTTCAGATTTTAGTTAGATAGTTCTCATGTTGCCCTGGCTTCCTGGCTTTTCCTATTTCTGTGTGTGCTTTTTTTCCCCATGTTATTATTCCAATAAAATAAACTATCAAAAAAGAAATATAGTTGTTCTTGTCTGTCTCCCACAAGCTGTCAGCATGATGACTTTATTGTTTACATGTACATTTTTCCCGTGGATGAAGGACAGCACCGCCATTGCTAAGCAACCAGCTTTCCAGCGTGCTCACTCTGGTCATAATCCTTTGTAATGTCCAGTAATGGTCAGTTTTTAAGTACAGTTTGACTCTTCAATATCTGGTCAAAATGGAGACACGAGACTGCATGTCGTTCCTTTAATCTGCCTGCCTTCATCCCATCAGCTGGAGTTCAGAGCCTCTCTGCAGCTCTGAACACATGATAATGTATTGTCAACAATGATGTTCCTTCCTCAAGGCCTCAAGCCTGAATAAGTGACCACTCGCAGCTCGGATTAGTCGCTTGATCAAAGAATGAATTCTTAAATACAATGTGAACATTTAAAACTTACAAGTTAAATAATCATTAAATAAATGTTTGTTTATTGTCACTTATAATAATTATAATATAAATGAAATGCTTTCATTAATCAGTGTTTGAATGACTGAAGTTTGAAATGAATGTTATGTTATGATTACATTGATCAGTAATGTTGACATGACAAGGCCATCACCATTTACACTCACACAAGGACGAGTTGAAGTTAAGTCAAACACGTGACACATAGATATTTCTTTAGCCCAGATCAGAGCATCTGGTATCTGAAAGAAGGCGTGTTTTCTGAGGTTGTCTTGGTAATATTCCTCAACATGTCAACCTCTGGTTGGTCACACAAATACTAACATGAGAATATTAAAACAGAATCACTCTGGTGATTCGGCTGTTGCAGTAGCAGTTCGTTCCAGTTCACGTTGGAGTCACATTCCAGCTCTCATCACTCAGCATTCAGTTCTAGAGGAAGCTACGGAAACGGCCGTCCGAGGTGAAGTCTCTTTAACTAAGAGGCAGCCTTGACACGCCGTCAAGGTTGTTGCAGAGCTGACACAGCAAACGGTTCCTGCAGAACAAATCTGATTTTGTTCCGACTCCTTAAGAGTCTAGACGCAAACGGTTCCATCCAACCTGTGTGCCTGGTGACATCTCTGGACTGGAGAAGTCGGCGCTGTGGTCAATCTGCTGGACCTGGGTGCTAAGAGGTCATCCGACCTCGATGACCTCCAGATCCGTGAAGAGGGTCTCCAAAGGGTGAGGTAGAACACAGTGTGATTGCATCTGATGCTCTTTCCTTGAATCAAAACAAAGTGTTTACAATCCCTGAATAAAACAAAGAATCCTAGAATCTTCTGATTAAACACACAAAGACCAAGCAGATTGATAGTCTATATTTATATAGCATATCACAGTTTATGAGTCATAAGTAGAGGTAATATAAATTGAGCTCTTAAAGCACTCAATTTACCAAATCCTACACCTTGTATTCAAAAAAGCTGCTAAAACGGCTTTTAGAAGAACATTCTCAGTAAAACAAGCATTAGAATTGATGCTGCTTCAGGTTGAGAGGGGAAAGTTGATGAAAACTGGTCAGTAGGAAGAGACTTCTTTTCAAGGTTTGGATTAAAATGATATATTTTTTAATCTCATGAGGGTTACATATCCGTGAGTTAACTTGTAGCGCACTTAAAACATTGTGCTCCACAACGTCATCGCCAGTCTGCATTTAATCGCCAAAATGGCAGCCGTCAAACTACTGTTATTGAGATTTTATGTTGGAATTCTAGGAGTTAAGCAGGTAAAGAGCGCCTCCTAGGGCACCTACCCGCTCCACAAAACTGTCAAGAGCTGATTCTGGTCAGCAGAGAGCTGCAGAGTGCTGTCCCATGTAAACACAATCGATGAGCCCCACTTTTAAGGAAGTGGTTAAAGTGTAAAAATGTGCTTAGTGTTGTTTTAAACCAAAATGAACAAGTTTTCAAAACGGCTTCTCTGTGAACTTGGGCTTTCGAGGCATTCTGCAGGAGACCAACCAGCTTTCATTTTTCTACTTTTGTTCATATTTAATTTACTGGAAGTAGATTTACTGAAAGAGTGAAAAGTTTTAAATTCATTTATTTGTCAGATCCTTTTTTCCAAAGCGACTTACAGAGAATCTAGTTTAAAATGTAGTCAATCATGGGAGAACATGCCAACTCCATGCAGAAAGGGACTAGAACCTGCAACCTTCCTGCTGCAAGTGGTTTTTATATCATTATTCCTTCTTGTTAAACGGGAGTTTTTCTTCCCACTGTTGACCATACTGCGCTTGCCTTAAAGGGAAGCTTTGATGTTAATTGATGGATGTTTTGTTGCAGAAAGTTGTAAAAACACCAGAAGAAACTTTTCGGAATAAAAACAGGATACAGAATATTTAAAGATTTTTGGCAGACATTTGAGTTCAGTTTCTGTTTCCAGGATCAATAACCATCTCTGACCCAAGGTAGGATACTTTTCTCTGAGTGATGAATTAAACATTGTGTAGCGTAATGGTTTATAGCTCTTTTATGAAAGATGAACCATCCTACATAATAATCTGGAATATTAATTTTAATAAATTAATAACCGAATTTATAGAGATAAGAAGACTCAAAGATTGTTTTCATCGATAAACTGACGATCATATCCGATTGTCTGTGTTTCAGTTCAATGAAAAGACAAGTTTGAAATTTAAGAGTTTTAATTCTTCAATTTAAACTAACGATTTGAAATGACAATCATAGGAAAAATAATCAACATCGGCAACCTTGTTGGACAATCTTTAACAGATGATATTTTAAACTTGCACAAATAGACCTTGTGTTGGATGTGCTAAGATTGAGGATGATGTAATTATGAATGTGTGCATGCAGGTGTCTGAGATTGCTTCAGGGAGAGAAAAGGTGAATCTGAGTGAAAAATGATGTTTTGAATTAAACTTAGTTCTTATTAGAAAAACTGCATCAGAATGCTATCTATTGTGTTCTGCCTCACCATACTCAGGACCCTCTTTTAGATCCGGACCTCAGAGGATGTTTATCCAGGTCACACCTTGGCTGGCAGAGAAGACGAAGGTGTGCTGATGGTCCAGTCCAGAGTTGACCTCGGTACACGTTGATGAAGCGTTCGGCAGATGCGCTTTCTCAAGTTTAAATTAACTCAGAAATCAAAGACTCTGGACGAGTCTGCGTTAGCTGGTTGCATTTCAGCTATTCTGTCTGGCTTGACAGAAATAGCATGGGGGGGGGAGAAAAGAGCCGGCAGGGCTCCTTTCCCCGTTGGCGTTTTTTCCACACGTCCTCTCTCTTTCGTTCCCAATCTCGTTCTCCCTAACTTACCAAAAACCACTTCTCTTCCCAAAGCAAACTTGTGCGTCAGAGCAAATGTGTTTTGGAGTTACTGTGAATCCAGACCTGTGTGAGCGGGTGTGAAGGTCATCACTAAACATCTTCACAAACATTATTTAATTAAGTATACTGATTCATTATGATTACCCAAAGCATAATAATCATTCATTTGATTAAAACACATTTATAATGAGCAAAATGATCAAATTATTATTTAGCATTAATAATAAAGAAAAGGAAGTTTAAGACTCTGTTTTATTATGACTAGAGTGTGGGTTGAAGTCCTTCTTCTGGAGCTGCAGGTGTTAGATGTTGTGGCTTCTTTCAGACTTGCTGTCGGCTCAGGTCTTAATCTGTGGGTGAAAGTTGCTGCGTGATCCAGCTTTGACCCAGCCGGGCAAATACGACCGTTGGCACAGAAAACCCATACTTCCTCACGTTACAATTGTGATAAGTGCAAAAAAGTCCATGTTTTTCATTCATGAACCATTTATTTTTGGGGGATATTTTGAGTTGGAATGTAAGAGATTTACTGGCCTTGATCATTCACATTGTTCACACATAATTATTAACACAAGAAAGCTCCTTCATCGGTTTTCTAATTCCTGACCATGGGATCAATCCGATGGTGTGGGATTCCCTCAGTTTCCAATCTGGTGTAGGAGCAAAGTGATGCAAGTAGCTTGCATTGCCATGGAAACACAAATATCCTGCCATAACATGGGAGGCACTGAACATGTATTAACCCCACTCAGACAGTGTAGTTATTCACCCACCTGCAAGAAAACTGTGTTCTTTTAGGTTTTTGGTTACATTAACCAAGAACAATTTCACCACTTGTGTCTTCTGAACAGTTTTTTAAATCAAATTTAACAAACACATGTTGATCATGCAAATTAAATACATGATACATTATTTGTCAGTTCTACTGAAATTATTGCATATTAAGATTTTTTAAACCTAGTTAGATGCTAATTGGTCCTATTGGCTGTCCATTAGTTGCCTAGCAACCTGCTGCTTCAATGTTATGACATTAGTGATAGCAAACTCAAACTATGAGTCCTGAGATGTTTGTGCAATGACATTATTGTCTTGTAACATGGCTTAATAGCTGTATGGTGTGCAGGGAGGTGGAATGGAGCCTACATCCTTTTGTCCCCTGGAAACACACACACACACACACACACACACACACACACACACACACACACACATCAATTATTTCTCAAAAGAAGGATTGCGGCTCAGCATTGACCTAAATTGACCCTGTTTCACAATGCCACAGGGCCTATTTTAGGATTCTTTAAAACATTAATCGGCAATTTCACATTTGATGTATTTTATCCTGCATTTACATTTCTCTGAAATGACCATTTCCATCAGATCAAACGTTTTCAGGCCTTCAATACACAACACAATCAGTCATCCCCTTATTCACACGCTGGTGATGAGCTACATTGTATCCACAGCTGCCCTGGGGCTCACTGACAGAAGCGAGACTGCCAAACACTCGTGTCACCAGTCCCTCCGACCAGCAGGCGAGGCAGGTTAAGTGCCTAGCCCAAGGACACAAGTAAGTGTTTAATTTGGCAAACTTTAAATTTTTAGAGTGTTATTTCACAGCACAATAGGGGGCTTTTGTCTCTGAACTTTAAAAGCTCGTTGGTCAATGCATAAAGGTCAGGAAATGGATTATTCGCTTCAAAATGTCAGTTGATTACTTTAAAGGTGACAACATGACTATTTGAAGGGCATGTGAGGTTTAAAAGAAGGGGAGTCCGAAATATTTTGAGACTATAATAATGTGTTTTACATTTTTTGTACTGGAAACGTTGATGTTAACAGACTTACTGTGATCATCTGAACATAATGACAAACTCAATTTTTCTACTGTGTGCAGAAGTTCTACTGGGTACCAAAAAGGGATGATTAGTCAATTATTGCTAATACGCCCATTTCAATTATCTGAAAAGGGAATTTTAGTTTTTTTAATTGTTTTACTGGAGTTTCAATTATGGTCTGTTGAGTGTAAAAAGGAAAAATAAATCTAAAAAGACGTCAACGCCTTATTTTAATGATTTGATTTGCCAGAGCACAAGACACATTAGGCAGAATGTGCCTTTAACTTTGTTGTGATGGAGGTAAACAAAGCATTTTAATATCAAAAACACATGCTACAAACCTTAGATGTACAGAAGTTTATTCAACAGTTTATTAATCAAATGCCATCAAAAACATACAAAATACCATGAAAAAGCATGACCCAATATCCACTGTCAAAGATAGAAAATTAGGAAATATGTACAGATTTGTGTTTAAGAACAATGGATTTGCTGTTTAAATGTGGGAAAAGTTGAATAACCTGTCATCTCTCATTTATTTTTGATACATGCTTAATAACATGAGATGATCAATCATTGGAGTTTTAAACAAACTAAAAATAAAGTAGAAAGGTGTTTGAGTAGGACAAAGTTTTTGCATCCAAAGCAACATCCATAATATTCATTGTAGTTTTAAAGTTTTGAGACAGTAAAAGCTGATCAGGATTGATTTTTCTCTAAAAACAACAAATTATGTTTTTTTTTCTTGCTAGATAAAGTTTACAAAAGTAATAGAACATAGTAAAAATAAAAAATACAGGAATACCACAAAGTGAGTGATCCAAAGCTAGAAACTCTTGTATCAAAAAGGAAGAAAAAAAACATACTGACACCAATATACACTTTGTACCTTTGTACAGGTTTTACACAGTATATGGTACCATTATTTTATAAATGATCACATAAGCTGCATTACATTCTGTATTATGGTCTTACAGTGGCTTGGTTCTAACTTTGGGATTTGTTCTAGTTTCACAGCAGAAAATAGACAAAAACAAAAAATAAAATGTTCCCAAAAATATTTAAGAATGATTTAAATTTGACTTTAAAAACAAGTTGAATGGGAACCATTCCATAACTTTGTTCTACACAGCAAATAAAGCTGCGTTCCAGGGAAATGCACTAGTTCTCCAAAAGCGTGGGTCTGTGTGATATTATGGAAATCTTGGTTTTCTTTATTAAGTTCTCTGCTTGTTCTCCTCTTTTTAAAAGATGCCCCAGATTTAGGATAATCTCATACTTTCAGATATCTCAACAGAGCTAAGAAGTGCAGGTGAGACTCTAAAAAGAAGTGTCAAACTTTCAGATTGTCAGCTAAACATCACACACACACACACACACCTGATGTATTCTGAGACCTTCTGTTTTTTTTGCATTGGTTTCATTACAATCATCTGAACATCTTCTGTGTACACGAGGGTTCTCAGTTCTTGTGTGAAGCTGCTGTTATAGTGGGTGTGTTGGGGGGGGGGGGGGGGGGGGGGTGCAAAGACATCACGGTCTGGGATATTTGCCCTTTGACTGGTTGACTGCCTGTTCCAGTGACTTCCTGGTTATTAGCAATCGCACCACATCCTCCTTCTTCTTGGTGAGTTTTTTACGCGCCTGATCATGGGTCACCATGGTCATGTCCCAGCCGTTCACCTGCCAGGAAGAAGAACTACTTCAGAGGCACTTAAAGGAGGAAACAGTGCCATCATGTGGATTTATTTCCTCAACAACAATGACGCACCTGCATTATTTTATCTCCTATCCTTAAATCTGCCACTTCTGCCGGTCCTCCTGGTGTTATCCTGGTCACATAGATGCCCTGTGAACAAACACACCTATTAGCTCACATCATCAAAGCTGCAGACTCATAAATGAAAAATAAATCCACAAATCTGAAACAGGCCTAACAAAAAAGGTAATAAAGAAAATAAGTTCGGGTTAGTGTCCAGATTTTTAACTGTATCTTACGAATCTTGAAAAGAGTGTTGGATTAGGAGATTAATGGTAAGAATGGAGTCTGTTACGGTTCAGACTAGATGTGTAATTTATTTCATTTAGCTCAAACTCACTTCATACACAAACCACTTCACTAATCCATATCATCTGTCCCAGAAAATCCACACAAACAATATTTTTTGCATCACATTTCACTCTTTATTATTTCTGAATACATACATTATCCTTAGCTCACAATGAGCTTTTGGTTTTGCAACAAGTGATTTAAAATAATGCTGAAATTGACATTTTCTGAACATTCTCAGCAGATTATCAGTGATTAGGTTTAACTTCAGAGTACACAACAACTTAAAAGAGGAAACAACTCGTGTTCCCTTTGTGTGAAAAATAAGCAAAAGCAGAAATCAGTCCTGCACACAATAGTTTTTAACTCACATTAACATAACTCTACTCTGCTGTAGTTTTATCCTGAAGACACATTTCAAATCCTTTATTTTGATTCAAACCTAAATTTTAAAAAAGTCAAAAAGGAGTTTTCGCTTAGTCAACTTCAGTTTAATTTAGTTAATTCTTCTTCATAAAGCAACACAATCATATTTAACAGCAAACAGGAGTATAACTCATTCATGCGTTCATCTCCAGCAGGCTGGATTATTGCAATGGTCTTCCTACAACGTTGTGAAGCAACTGCAGCTTGTTCAGAACGCTGCTGCTAGAGTCTTAACAAGAACCAAGACAACTGAGCACATCACTCCTGTTCCTAAATCTCTACACTGGTTACCAGTAAACTACACAATCCATTTTGAAGTGCTACTGCTAGTTTATAAATGGTTCAATGGCATAAAGCCAATGTCAGATCTCCTCCCTGTATTTACACCCAGCAGGGCTCTGAGGTCCATAGGAAACAGTCAGCTGGTAGAACCCGGGTCAGAACCAAACTCGGTAGGGAAGCAGTCTGGATTTTCAGCCAAACATGACCCAAATGTGCAATTTTGTATTTCGGCCGAAACACCAAAATCCCAGAAACAACAGAGCCAAAATAGACAGACAGGTTAACCTGTTTCCGTTTCATCACGCTCCGCCCTCATGTGGGAACTTGGTCTTTGCTTCTTAAAAATAGTACATTTGTACTGATATTAAAAAATGTTCCACTTTTAATAATGCTGTTTTATTAAGATCGCTGGAATATTCATATCAATTTTGTGTACGCACTTTTTAACCTTCAGTTTCACATCTTCTGTGTCTGCCCCCCACCCTCTTTTACATTCCTGCTACATCTGTCACTGTTAGCAGTGTCTTAACCATCCTTTCTACACCATCGTGAAGCTCACAGACTGTCACCGCAGCAGCATCTCTGTCTTTTTCACCCCTTTATCAGAGGGTGAAAATTCCTCTTCAGAATCACAGTCAGCTATTACCAGACAAAGAGCTTTTTAACATTGAACAGGCCTGTCAGCGCTGTAATATTTTCCTCTTCATCCTTTGCTCTGCTCATCGCCTCTCCTCAGTCGGGAGCCTCCCAACAGGGGGCGGTTATTAAACTCTATAAACTCAGAGAAGTTTGATAGAAACACTCAGAAATGTTGCCCAGACTGAAGTTACACATCTCCACTATCTTCTTGTGTAAAGTAATAACTTCATGAGGGATTATATTTGCAGCTGTGGCTTGTTCAACACAATAATGTGACTTTGGTGGTGTAAGGGTCAATCATGCAGTCCTTTTTTTATAAGCTTGTACATTTACAATTTGTTATTTTTATTTATTTATAGTTTATTGTTTAATGTACACAAACGAGTTCAAGGAAAACATTTTATTTTGAGTTTAATTTTTTATTTTGTGCATTGTTGTTATGTCAGAAATGTTTTCATGGTTTTGTAATTGATTTACTGCAAAGCCTCGATTTTAGTGAGGTTAGTACACATAGCATAGGGCTGGGCAATAAATCGAAAATTTATCATTTTTGAAATTTCTGACTGATCGTGATAATTTTTCCCATGTCAATAAATATGATTAAAAAAAACAATGAAAAGATGTGTGTAGGTCGGAAACATTCATGTCCGTTTAAGAAGCTGAACCACCTTGAGTCACGTGTGACAGCCCCATCTAGTGGACAACTTTTCTTTCTGCACATACCTGTGGTTATCGTCCATTTATCATTATCAAGGTGAAATCCTCAATATATCGTGATATTGATTTTAGGCCATATCGCCCAGCCCTATCATAGCCATGAATACCAAGGTTCTAATTTTTGACATAATCATTCATTTCAGCGTTTCGGTTTTCAGCCTTGGTTTCCTCATTTTCGCTTTTTGATTTCGGCCAAGAATTTTCATTTCGGTGCATCCCTAAAACAGGATGACGCAGCTTTTAGCTACGATGGAATCCGCTTCTTTGTGACCTCAAATGAAAATCGAAAACTTTCTTTTATACATTAGCCTTTGAATGAATGTCTCTAATGCTGCACCTTCTGCACTGTATCTGCTCACCCTTTAACTTAGCTTTGTATCTGATTCTAAAATCTGAAATTAACTTTGTTTAATTTGGTCTAAATGTATTTGTGTAATTTAATTAAGATATCACATTGATTTTAATGTTTGTGCTGTTACACGCTAGTGGAAAGCACATCAAATTCCCTCCGTGTGTGAAATGTGCTATACGAATAAAGCTGCCTTGCCTAAAATAAGCTACATGTAAACATATATGGAATGCAATTTTTTTTTTTTGATCATTTATTGGTGATTTATTTTACATTATTAAAGATAGATTTTGGTATTGATTTTCAGTCTGAAAGAATATATAAGTGTTTTTTCACTATAAGTATGTATTTCTAATTTTTATGCAATATTTCTAAATAAAGAGAAAAACTGTTGACTCAGTGCCGTGAAGATGAGGACATTAAGAAGCTCTGTGTCCCTTAAAAACCTCTAGACTGTGCACAATAAATATGTAAAAACTCATTTGAAATGCCAAAGTTTAATTTAAAGATTGTAATTTAAAGCTATAGTCATTAATCGTGAGTTCAGACTTCTGCTTTTCCAAGGCCTAGTCCACACATAGCAGGGTTTTTTTTTAAACGAATATCCGCCCCTCCAAAAACTTGCATCCACACCACCGCGTTTAAAAAAAAACTCTGTCCACACGTACCCGGATAAATACGTTGTTAAGGACATGCCAGACCTGTAGGCGGCAGTACTTCCCCCGTTCTTAACCTCGTCCTTCGTCTGTGGTCTTCCGCAAGGAGCAGTAATTCCGCTTGCAAAAACAAACAAGCAAAAAGCGCTTGGACAATTGATAAAGCGAGCGCAGCTCTGAGGGCATCCATGATACCGGCTAGTGTAAACACAGGTCGCACACGTGATGTCAGCATTTTTCTGTCGCTGAAAGTGACGTTGCGGACCTTAAAACTCCGGTTTTGTCTGTCCACACGCAGACACCCAAAACGGAGAAAACGCAGATCTTCACTTTGGCCGGAGTTTTTAAAAAGATCCGTTTTCGTGTGGATGACACGCCAAAACGTAGAAAAATATCTACGTTTTGGCAGATCCCCGGCTACGTGTGGACAGGGCCCAAGTGTAAATGTTTATTGAACAATTAGACAAGCTGTGATTTTGCATCAACTTGCTTTCTTCTCTCCTGTGACTCATTAATGATCTGGCTTTTTCAGCCTGAGATCATAATAAATAATGTGTTCGGGCCAATTTCAGAACCAAACAGTTATAAATCAAACTGTAGTTTGTATTGACATCTCTAGATGTTTCTCTCCCCTCATCCTGTGATTTTTACTTTGTATATTACCTGAATTCATTTCTTACACTAAAGCATAAAAAATCTAACTTTCAGGAAGATTGGTCATAATTAAGAGCTTTTTAGTAATAAAATACTACATTTGTACTTAAAACGAAGAACGAATCTTGGTTTCCAGGATAGTTCTTTACCTTATCGGTTTTATCCTCTGAGAAGGGGTTCTGCCCAGGGTCTTGGTCTATTCCTCCTCCGATGCTGAAGCCCAGGATCAGGTTTTCTCCCTGCCTCAGCTTCTGGATCTCAATTCGTTGCTGTTGACAAAAGCCCACGAGGTTTCAGATTTGAATTTTATTAACATGTTTACACACACACACACACACACACACACACACACACACACACACACACACACACACAAAAACAAGTATGAAATGCAGATTTACTACTAGATTTTTCTAAAAATGTGCTAGAAATCTAAACAGCTGCTGCTTAAATGTGTCACTGCTGCTTCAATCAGAAGGCAGGTTCAGACTTGGTGCTAAAATGAGCAAACACTAAACAGGGATATGACTACACTCAAGACACGTTCCTCAAGGAAAGAAATCTGGGATAGAAACAGTGGTATGTGGTTGACTGTAGATCTTTTTTTCTAAGTATAAAGTTTCATATTTCTACAGATTTCAGGAAGACGTAACCCTGTCAATGATCTCAGTGTGTAGACTTTAGTTCACACAGATGTTAACTTAACTAGTAAAATCATACGGTGACAAGCAGCTGCAGCCTAACACTAGACGGGTGGTTAATTCTGACACAAAGGCTGTCTGTGTGTGTGTGGATGATGAATAATCAGCCTCTCCAACACAATGAAGTCTAAAGATGACTTCATTGTAGATGTCAGTCAGTGAGTCATGATCTCCAAAGTAAAGAGCTTCTTTCTCCACTTGTAAGCTTTAAAAAACAGACAAAAACAACCCTACATGCAGAGACGTTGTACAACTGAATCACAGGACAACTAAAGTTGATAACATATTTGACCTGATTAGACTTTAGACGCCTCAGATAAAAAACTGAATTAAGATGATTAATTTATTTGTAATCCCAACCCCAACTGGTAGATTACTGGTGGTAACTAGTGGGGAAAATAAATCGCTGGTAAGTATAAGTGAACCTTTTTACTCCACATATATGTCAAACAGACGAAAACAGACGAATCACCTCTGTGCAAGAAGCTTGTTCTTGGGGCTGATGTTGCATTTACAGACCATAGGAACTTAAAACACTAACCTAAGAGGCGACGCCCATAGCTGTCAAGAAATGTTCATACTTTTAAATGATCATAATTTAATAATATTACTTCATTTAATGACAACTTGTGAGTTACTTCAACTACTTGTCTTGCACGAAAGATTAAAAAATGTATTCATTAATGTACGCTTTAACATAAGTTCCAACAGCCGCTGAATTAATTCTGGATTCTGTTGGGTTAGTACGTTTCTTTACCGTTACTAATTAGCAATTATGGCTAACAAACTGTAGTTAAACCAGCGTTTAGATTTTATAGTTATGATTGAACAAGTATGTCCACCAGAGAGTGGACAATAGAGTCCCAACCGACCCTTCTCCCAAACTTACCACAACAGCGGTAACCGGTTGACCAGGGACAAAGGACATCGTTTAGCCCAATATCAAAGCTAAAAAGCGGAGAAACTTGCAACTTAGGCTGTGTAAGGCGTAAGAAAACCTTCCAAATATTCTCTGTTGGTACACAACTTCCCAGACAGCTCTACGATTTATCGGCAGGATGATCCCGAGCTGGAAATCAACGACTTCCCAAATTACGTCACCAGTCTCCTAGTAAAGTAGGTGCGCGTGTTTCACTTAAACGTGGCACTCAGAGAGGGCGGTGTTATACGACTAAAAGTCGCCCCTTTCGTTCTGAACCCTGAACGCATTCCTCACTGCGTCACCGAGCGGATGAGGATTCTACCTTAAACGGAGTACACATGTGGTAATCACATGGAAGCTCAACTACGGTCATAGATATATGGACCACGGTAGAGAGACATTCATATGAAGTGGTCAATCTAATTATGATGGGAGATCAAACAACTAACAGACCACGGAATATTAGTTTGTTTGTTTGTTTGTTTGTTTGTTTGTTTGTTAGTTAGTTAGTTAGTTAGTTAGTTAGTTAGTTAGTTAGTTAGTTAGTTAGTTTACACTTCACATCTAGAAAGTTAAAAACAACTCTGCCAGTCTGCAAATCTATTTCTTATTAGCATTTAAATAATGAGCATGAAACAGGAAAACACTATTACATTGAGCCATTTAGAAAAAAAAACAACTAAGTCCTTTGCAGTAGTTTACAAGGTCAAACGGTACCTGGTTAAATTATTGGCAAGAGCTTAAAATAAATAATTCATAGTTGCAACACAATCCACACACATTTTTCCAATAACAGAGTATGAAATCAACCAAACCAGTTTGGATCCTTGAGGCAGCAAAGCTTTGGAATATGATTTGAAAGGTTATAAAATTATTTTTAATGGGAATCACCAAAACAGGACTAATGCAATGTTCTTATGTTTTATCCTGATATGTTTAATTTCACATAAAGTTAAGTTCAAGGATGGGCATGCAGTTAAACAGCACGGAATATGAACTGGTTATGTAACCAGTGAAGCAATTAGTTCTTTTGTAGCCTCTTTATTTTGTAACCTTTGTAACCTCTTTTGGACTCCCAGGAGATAATAACCTCGTATGTTTCCTATCAGTTTGATGTGGAGGGTTCAGAACTGAATAAAAAATCGGTGTGATCTGAGACTCGGAAACTGATTACATCACACATTAAAAGCTGCTTTAGTGATAAATCACGATGTGGAGAAACTAAATAACATTGTGTCAGTTTTACACTAAAGTATTTGAACAAAATAAAACACAGCAGACTTAAGGTGCTTTATTAGCTCTTATTTAACATTGATGCATGCTGCAGTCCAAAGCATACATGTAAGATAATGTTGCAGTTAAATGCCACAGTCCTTAAAAAATCTGTACTAAAAGCACAAATTATTCCCTTAAAAAAATGAAAAAAAAAAAAAACAATTAAAAAAATAAGCTACATTAATTGACCTGCATGGTTCTAGACCAGTTTGACCAGTACATCTACATTTCCCTTGTTCTCCTACAGCTTCCATTCTAACAGCCTGATGTCTTTGTTAATATAAATGATTTACCATGCTGAACACTTCCTCATCCTGGCTTTTGTAACTTCACTTAAACACAAAACCATTTACTTCTGGTTGAACGGGTAAACATGGATCAAATTTGGCTTCAGCTACAGATGTTGTTTTTATTTTATTATTGGTGACAATTCATCTCAGCTTAGCAAATGTTTGTAGGAAACAATAAACCAGCTGCTCTGGCTCAGCAACACATCTTTGCCCTCAACTTTTTTATTTATTCATGCACAAACAAAAATATAAAGGTATTTATTGGTGGGCAGAGGGGGCATGTTATTTATCCTTGTTTTTGCTTCAGGAACCCATCAGAATGAATCAAATCTTGTTTATGAGTTGAGAGACACATTATAAAATAAATAACTTGTTGCCACAAAAAAGTCTGGATGAGATAATAAAATTAGGGTCAAAATGTTGATTTTGTACCCAAATTTGATTTAAAGTGTAACAATAAGTGAAATGGTTAGTTTGTAGATTTAATGAAGGTAATTATTAACACTCAGGGTAGTATTTCACATCCTGAGCAGGAACATCAATGCACTCATCCCACTCTGTTGCATAAAACAGATCAAAACCACAAAGTCTGAAATGGGATTTGAATTATTTTTACGCCATCTTAAGCAGAATTTTTAGCTTGTTTAAAACAAGCAAAAAAATCATGTAGTGTTAAAATGTGTGTACATTTGACAAAATGCCCTTAGTTCTAATTCTAGAAGCCGGCCAATCTACTCCCACCTCCAAATTTCACACCATTCAAAATCCTCTCCCCCCACCACCCACCCTCTTCAGCACCACTTGCCCCCCCCACCCCCCCACCCCCCCACCCCACCACCCCCCCCCCCCCCCCCCCCAGTTACAACGAACCAGGTGAGGAGAGAACTAAGGCGACTTAGGAGCAGGAAAGCTGCAGGTCCTGATGGGATCAGCCCCAGACTGCTCAAAGACTGTGCTCACCAGCTTTGTGAAGTGGACATGCACATGTTCAACCTGAACCATCAGTTGGAGCAGTAACCACTTTATCTTGAACACCAGTAAGACAAAGAAAATGGTGATTGACTTCCAGAGAAACACTCCTCCTCACTCACCAGTAAACATCCAGGGAGCAGAGTCATGAGGTGGTGGCTACTTTTAAGTACCTGGGTGTTCACCTCAACAATAAACTGAACTGGTCCCACAACACAGATGCTTTGGATAAGAAGGGCCAAAGCCGCCTTTACATCTTCAGGAGGCTGAGGCCCTTCGGAGTTAATTCCCAGTGGCTAAAATCCTTTTGTCACTCTGTTGTTGGCTCTGTTATCCACTCTGCTGTGGTCTATTGGGGTGCAGGCAGCTTTGACCGAGACAGGAGGAGACTGAACAAGCTAGCTACCAAAGCTAGCTCAGTTCTGGGCTGCCCACTGGATTCAGTTGAGGAGACGTGGAAAAGGAGGATACTGGGGAAGATGCTGGCGAAACCATGGACAGCTCCTTAAGAGGCAGACTGAGACATCCCAGATGTAAAACAGAACACTACTGTAGGTAATTCATCCCCTCTGCAGTAAGAGTGTATAACTCCTCAGTTTAACTGTACTGGCATTATCCTGTTACACAATAACACAAATGCAATACTCATTATGTGTTGAATACTTGTGCAATACCAGATTTACATAGAATGTCTGTGCCCCTTACAGTATGTTGCATAGTTCTGGAATCCATGTTTTTCATTTTTTATTTTTGGTTTTTAGTGGTCAAAGATTACAATGCTATGTGTACGGTATGTGCATGCACCTCTGTTATTATTTTTCTTCAAATTATTCCCTTCAGTGTTCTGCTGCTGAAACAAGTGAAATTTCCAACTGTGGGATCAATAAAGTCCTTTCTAGTTCTATATGAAATGTAGTGGTCATTCTAGAACTTACTCCACTCCTCCTGGAGCCCCCTGTTCATCAGTAGCCAGGGGCAAAACGTGGAGGTGGGTGGTACTCTACAGGTAACACCTGATCAGTCTGTTTCACACCTGTGTGAAGAGGTGACCCAGCAAAGGTCGGTAGCCCTGTGATTTCTTGGTATTCATTCTCAGTGTTTGCTCTCCGGTTATCTGGGGTCACGTCGCTGATCTCTGAGTACACGTTTTCCTGTGGGTTGTTGGTCTTCTTTTGAAATTTCAATTTGAGGGTCTTCAAGTTGGTGATGACTGAAGGTCTGCTTTCCTGGCTCTTTGGAGGCTGGATATTGGGGCAGATTCTTCGCCCGGGGGCTGGGGGAAGAGAGGGACTCCCAGGTACAGAGACTGTTCTGGTGCAGGGCCGATTCTGCCTCTGGAGCATCCTGCTCCGGGATGGGACTTCAGGAGGCTGGTTTGCTGGAAGCTGGGTGACTGCATATATTGTCTGGATTTCTGGCACATGCTGGAGACCATGAACAGAAAGTAGAACAGTTGGTAAAAGGAAATGAAACAAAATTTAAAATGTCAAGTTTTATGCCCTTGTCCACTCCTCACGGACCCTTTGAGCAGTGACGGCTCATCTATAGGGGCGCCAGTGTACCACCCTCGCTGATGTGAAGGGAGAAGAAAAATTAAACAAAACATCTTTACAATATATTATTATTTACTATAAATTCGCCAGTTTTGCTTAATGGTGTGCGTCTACATGTATTCTGAATTATTTACACATCATTTGACTAGATATTGTAGCACCTGTGCAGGCTAAGAAACATAAATGTAAAAAGGAGCCATGGCTAAATATGACAACACAGGACTTAAAAAGGAAATGTAGGAAGGCAGAGCATAGGTGGAAGCGGGATGGGCTTCAGATCTCCCTGGACCTACTGAGAGATAGCTGGGTAGCCTACCAGAAAGCTGTGAAAGAGGCGAGAATTAAGTTCTTTGCTGACATTATTTCCTCCAACTCACAGAATTCTTGGATTCTTTTTAGCACTGTGAATTCAATTTTAAATGCAAATGAACCGCTGGCTATTGAGTACACTACAGAATCCTGCAATAATGTCCTTAACTTCTTTGTTGACAAAGTGGGGAGTACGAAGGCTTCAATCACACCCTCCAATTACCACCCTCCTCTTCGCGGCCCTGCCCCAGGGCTCCTGGAGAGCTTTTATCCAACATCTCTCATAGAGCTGGAGAATGTGGTCAATAGTCAGAAACCATCTGGTTCTGGATTGGACGCAATCCCTGCTAAACTTCTAAAAGAAGTTTTCCAGTTGCGTCTCTTTATGTTCTAGTTGTTCTAGAAATTATAAATAGCAGTCTACTATCAGGTGAAGTTCCCAGCTCTTTTAAACATGCAGTAGTGTGCCCTCTGCTGAAGAAAGCTGGCCTAGATTCGTCGAATGTGTCAAACTATGGGCCTGTTTCCACACTGCCTTTCTTAGCTAAGGTCTTAGAAAAACTTGTGTATGACCAAATGGCATCCTTTCTAAATGAAAAGGAGATACTAGTGAATTTTTCAGTCTGGGTTTAAGTCTCTCCATAGTACAGAATCAGCCCTGTTGATGGTTTTGAATGATATCCTGATGGTAACCAATTCTGGGGAGGCTGTGATTTTAGTACTCTTGGATTTGACTGCTGCATTTGAAACCGTAGACCACAATATCCTGATTGGTCGACTGGAGCACTGGGTGGGAATATCAGGCTTAGCACTCCAGTGGATAAAATCTTACCTGTCAGGGAGGAATTTTTGTGTAAGACTGGGGGACTGTTCGTCTGATACTGCTGATTTGCGATGTGGAGTGCCTCAGGGATCAGTCTTGGCACCTCTCCTCTTTTCCCTCTATCTGCTGCCACTGGGTGACTTGTTTCGTCGGCACAACGTCAAGTTTCACCTGTATGCGGATGACTGTCAAATCTATTTACCTGTAACATTCAATAACTCAAGTTCTTTTAAACCACTCTTGGACTGCTTGGAGGAGGTCAAGTTATGGATGGCTCAGAATTTTTTGTTCTTCAACCAGAGTAAAACTGAGACTATCCAGTTTGGCCCGAAAAACAAACATGGATGTGCCCAAGGGATTGACTCTCCTTTATTAGCACCTTTTGAGAAGGCTGTGGTCACCAACCTGGGGGTGAAGTTGGATGTAGAGCTCACACTGGACAGCCAGGTCAATGGAACAATCAGATCCTGCTATTTCCATCTGAGGAGAATAGCTAGAATTAAGCCGTTTCTTTCACTAAACATCTGGAAACTGTCATCCACGCCTTCATTACCACCAAACTGGACTTCTGTAACTCCCTTTGTGCAGGCATCAAGTAGGCCTCCATAGCGAAACTGCAGAAGGTCCAAAATGCGGCAGCCAGGTTACTGACTGGTACCAGGAGATCTGAACACATCACGCCCATCTTGGCATCCCTACACTGGCTTCCAGTCTCTTTTAGAATTTCGTTTAAAGTTCTGGTGTTTGTTTTTAAACGTTTAAATGAGTTGGCTCCACGTTATCTATCGGATCTGATCCATCCTTATGTTCCCGCAAGGAAGCTTCGGTCAGCACAGCAAGGACTGTTGGTCGTTCCCAAACACAGACTGAAATCTCGAGGGGGTCGTGCTTTCTCGGTGCTGGGGCCGAGCTCTGGAATGAGCAACCTACATGTGTTAAACAGGCCACCACGCTCGGCAAGTTTAAGAGCCAGCTGAAAGCACACTTTTATTCTTTAGCTTTTACTCAAGAAGAGCCTCGTTAACGGATGGTTTTGACTTTTTTGTTGCCCCATCTAGATTTTATCTACATGTTTTTGTTGGTTTTTAAATGGTTTTATATGTTTTTATTTTTTATGTTCATTTCTGCTGTGCAGCGCTTTGTTTGGTCCTTGGGCCATGTGAAGGTGCTATATAAATAAAGTTTAGTAGTAGTAGTAGTAGTAGCTATTTCTCATTAAACAGTGCATTTCCTTCAACAGACTCATTGAAATCCATCCTGGGGGCACTGGGAAAAGTGCACCCTGAGCTGCAGCTAAAAAGCCAATCACACTTGGTTGCTAGGGAGAGGTGGAGAAATTTTAGCCAATCAGCATCACTGAATTTATTACCTCTGGGGCTCTGTCATCAGTGCTCCTGCTACAAGAAACAGCTAGCTAGCATGCTGGAAGGTGGTGGATCCCCTTTCACTTCTCTCTCTCTTTCTCTCAGTCCCTCATTCACCCTCACTGTTTATTTCTATAGTTAGAGCTGTAACCATACCTGTAGCTGTTGCAGTGAACTGTGTTCATTAGCTCTCATTTTATGTGATTATGATGTTCAAAACACAATGTCTTCTACCATTTCTATGTTGTTTTACTGCCACCAACTGGTGGCACTGAGTATTACACTTTGTGGTGCATATTCTTTGAGCAGAAGATCAGTTGAGAGACACAGGATGTTGGAGACTGAAAACTAAAGCTGGGAAACAAACTACTATTAAAATTAAATGTCAATAAGAACAGTTTAAAGTATGGACCGCATTTGCTCTTGAATTATTGGTAAAGGCATATAAGGTAGGCTTGTGTATTTATTGTCTAGTTTATCTATAAATTTGATAATTGACTATCTGTAAAACAGCTTTTTTGGAAAAGAAAAATTATTGATTGTTTAGGAATTGTAGTCATTTTCCAAGTGTTGGTTACCTATAATAGACTATAGGGAAATATTATCACACATAGCCCCACTAAGAATTTTTTTCTCCAGCTTTTGAGACTGCTCTAAAAACCACTTTGATCATCAGTAATTATTGAGGTGCATGTTATTTTTTAAAAACAAGTCTTTTAAGGTCATATTACCGAGTCTGGAGGTGGAGAGGTGATGTGGGAGAATTCATTGTCCAGGGAAGGGTACAGCCTGTTAGGGGGGTTGTTTGGAAGTGGGACAGCAGAATCTTTCAGTTTATCTGGACGATACGGGAGAGCAGGAGGGGTCTCTTCCTCTGGTCCTGGAGAACTGGGTTGTGGAGAGTTCATTGCAGGAGATCTGGTGTTAGAAGCTTGTTGTCTTTGGGGAAACAGCAGCTCTGCATAGTCTGCCCGAATATTTGAGGGCTTATATAGAAATCAAGAGGGACAAAAAGAAAATAATGTGTTTATTTTGTATACTGTGATGTTGGTGACAGTTTAACACACAAGTCTTACTGTTAGAAACTTTTTTATCAACTCTGAGGGATTACATTAAAGGAATAATGGTTTTATCATAAACGGTACAGTTAGAATAAGCTGTATATTTGTTATATGTAAATGGATGAATGTGCTGTTGCACAAATCTTTAATTCACCTTGTATCTCAATTCCTCACCTGTTCACAGGCAATAGTCAGCACCTGGTTGAAAGGCATGATGGGAGTTCTGCGGTGAAATTCCACCAGGTCCTGCAGACTGCGGTGACGTCTGTTCTCCCCCACTATCATGTAGTGGCTATCCACCAGCGCATCAACCATGAAATGTCTGCAGCGGTCATCTGCACTGAGGGGGCAATATGCAGGAGAGTGAGGCTTGTGGGGCTTTGACCTGCTGAACTGAGGGTGTGAACCTGAATAATGCACAAAGCTCCTTAAATCCTGCCAGGGCACTCACCGGTATGAGAGCGTGTAGCCGATTCTGCTCTCGCCGACTCTGATGAGGAAGTAGCCAGGCGGCTTTGGCATGAGCAGTTCCTCTGCTGTCCTACACAAATCACCACAGACAAAGGCCCCTTTTATGCACCCGCTTTAATCTGCTAACTTCATCTGAAACCGTAGCCTCATTATCGTTCCTGTGAAAAGCTGTGATCTTTACAGAGAAATTTTTTTTGACCTTTGCACGATCACATGCTAGTGTTCTCAGACAAAACCGTCCAGAACAAAAACAATCAACCAGAAAGTAGCTTGACATCTTGTTTAGTTCAGAAACAAACAAAAAAAGACATTCAAGTGTTTTTTCCCTCCTTTGAAGTATTCGAAATGATCACAATCAGAGTTTTGTGATGTTTATGTTTATGTATTTAGCAGACGCTCTTGTCCAAAGCGACTTACAAGTGATTATCGGCATGTTGCTCTTGAGGCTAACAACAACAACAATAACAACAACAACTTGACTTCAATCATGGAGAGGAGGGAACAAGGAGTGGACAGTAGAGAGGGAGGACGGGTGCTAGTTTAGAAGATGCTCTCTGAAGAGCAGTGGTCAGAGAGGAGTTTCTTGAAAATTGAAACACATTTGTAATATTCCTGCTGTCAGGAGTTTTTACACTGGAGAAGAATAAACCAGGTTTATGATGTGCTTTGTAACACAGAAAACGCTCAAAGTAAATATCTAAACAAACCAGTTAGTGTAATTGTTTAATTTAACTTGTTGCTTTTCATTATTGCCCAGTAACTCAATTCAAGATGGCTGCCACAGCTGACTAAATGTGAAATGACACTGAGCTGGGTTATAACAGGGTGAGAGACAAGTCCAACACACTGATTGTGCAAAATTTAGAAAATAATGCCCACGATCGAGTACTGATGAACTTTCAAAACTTGATCAAATCTCAATAATTTCTCATTTAAGACAAAATGCGTTTAACCCTTTGATGCATAATGGTCACTGCAGTGGACAGGTACTCAAAATTGTTATTACTTTATTTTTGCTATTAAGCGCAGCTGTTGAAGACTTTATTGCATGTGAGCCCCTCCATTTGGACTTCAGTAAGTCAAGCCACCATATTTCATGTTCAGAATGCATGCTGTCCACCGAGATGGACATGTAATAAATTATTTGTAAATTAACAAAATGTTACAAAAAATATTTGTTGAAATTTGTTTCATTCACACCTAAAGATGGATGAAAAAATTTGTTTAAAAAATCATGGCTGAAGATCTCATAATTCATGCATCAGAGGGTTAAATCTCTGTTATGAAAGTGACCTGCACCCGTTTAGGAAATGTCAGGCCTTTACATAGTCAGATGTTTTAAAAGCAGCAATGATTAAAAATAAAGCTTGTATGTAAATCATACAACACCTAGAGACCAGTGAATCAAACTACTGGCCTTTTTGTAAAGAGGTCAGGCCATAACTACCTTTTAATCCTGTTTGTGAGTAACCCTGTGCACACTATGAGTGCATTGTGAAAGGAACTGATTACTTCATGAAACAACCTGGAGGTGTAGAGGTTACAGCTCTTGATCTTACTGTACTTCTGCACAAATTAAAAATAATCAAATACTGACCAAAACTGTCTTGTTTTACAGCTGCAGTATGCTGTAACTGGCATGATGCATACTGGGCTAAAAAGGCTGCATCAGTCATAAATGGTGACCTTCTCAGTGGCCTTTTGGTATGAGTGTCTTCTCTGGGACTGGGAGATCGGGGCTCAAGTCCCAGTTGGGTCATACAAAAGACTTGAAAAATGGGACCCAAAGCTTCCACTAAAGGGGTTGGATTGTGGGGGTTAAACCACCAAACAGTTCCCCAGGGGGATGGGTCAGATGCAAAGATGTAGTTTCATCGGCTTAATGGGACTTTCCTTCAACCACAACATCACATTACAATCTCTTACCTGGACAAAAATGTCTAAAATTTCCACATTTACCAAAGCGTTTCCTCATTTTAGAATTTAAACAAAAACATGGATAAAACGCACCTTTACAACACTTGGAATCCTTTTAACCAGCTAAAAGTCCCAGACACACACAAAAAAACCAAGAACACGTTTTAGATTTGTGGCAGCAACTTCAACACATTTCTCATTTAGAAGTTTTTGAAAACTGTTTTCAATTTTCAGCTGCCAGCTTCTGTAGATTACAGTGGGTGATAAACTCAGACTTACTTCCTGGAAATGATCCCGTGAAACCAATCTGGGACCGATCCGTTCCTGAACACCAACTGGAGCTGTGACTCCTTGAACCAGGTGAAAGGATCATGTTGTCCTTGTGACGGCTGACTCCACTCCATCATCCTGGGAGAATAGGTGATCAAATGTAAACCTGCAGGAAAACATCTGAAAATGCCCCCCAGACAGCTCGCAGCCTCCGTTTAGTAGAAACACGCTCTGTTCCCACAGTAAAAACCTCCAGCTGATTGAATATGCTATTTTGATAATCACTCTTTCTCCTGCAGGTGAGATGTTTTATCCAGTGCACTGTGACCATTGTTTATCCACTCATCTTATCATAGAGGCAAATTTCACAGTTAAGCATTTGCATTTAAAATGCAAAAATAAAGCAGTCATTTTTAAAATAGCACCTCTCTGTTCCAGAGAAAGGATCCAGAACAACTACATCATAGCTAATTTCAGCTGAATTTAGTTTTTAATGTCATGAATGCTCATATTTGGTTTTTAATTCATCTATGTGGGTTAATAATAAATGAAAGAATATTTAACAAATAAAATTTAATAAATCAGCATCTACAACTCACGGATCACAGAAACAGAGACTCACCTGCTCCGGAGCTTCCTGTGAAATAACACAGCGGCGACCAGACGCCTGGCAACACCTATTAAAGGGGCGGAGACAAACCCCACCTGTGTCAGCAGCCACCCATGGGTGCAAATTTCTCTCAAACGATGCTGTGTGCTTAAATTTTATACAAAGAGACTGTTTATTTAAATGGTTTCTTTTAAAACGTGGATCCAGATAGGGATGTTAAAGATGAAAATAAAAATAGATGAAATGAGAAGATTCAAACATGCCTTGAACAAACATTCTATAACTTAAGTCTGAAAAAGGAAGGAAGGTAAATGTGTGTTTTATTTCTGATCCAGAGAATGGGACCTGGACATGCATGTGGGGAACTTCCGGCAATAAAATGATCCTTCACAGGATTCTGGAGGTTGTTTGAAGGTCAAAGTCTCTCCTCTGACTGTCCAGACATCCTGATAATGAGTTCAACCTAATTCAACATTATGCTCTCAGTTATCAGAGAGGATTTTCAAATAAATGACTATGAATGCCGTTTTGGGGACTGTGGTGACACACCCACGTAGTTTTGTGACTCAACAAAAACTTCCACAAAGAAACTTCCGTCCCGCATGTCGTCTGACTAAAAGAATAACTAAAACAAAAAGGTCAAAGTCGTCTGAGCATGATTTCCCACTAAAGCTGTTGGTGAAACAGAAGTCCAGGGAAGTGCCTTTGTGGGGCTCTTCTGCATTTACTCACACTTTTATGTTTCACACCTACGTCTCCATTTATTTTTAACTAAATGTCATGAATACATTAAAACGAAACAATCTTAGAAGCAAACTTGATTCTATTTCTCTGCATCAAGGTCTCTGAGGTGTTAAAGCTGAAGAGCAGCTACAGAGCTGAAATGGTCACGCTGGTGTTAAACAGTGATATCAGGCAAATTAACCAAGAGCTGCACAGAAGAGTGTGCACCTATATTTAACTTTGCACTTTTCAGAAGGAAGTGCAAGCGTGTTTGCTTGTTTGTTGGAGGGGTGAATGAAAATGAATGCTGTTAGCCTCAAGGGCAACATGCCGATTATCACTTGTAAGTCGCTTTGGACAAAAGCATCTGCTAAATACATAAACATAAACATAAAATGCACCTTTCTGTTGAAATATTAGTGTCTGTGTCTGAAAATCCCCTGCAGACAGCGTGTGTCCATTCAGAGAAGCACAGGATCAGATGCAGAACATTTGCATGCTGTGGAGCAGAAATGAAAGTGAGACTCTGCAGAGTGCAGAATCATTTGCAACACAAAACTGCAACCCCATGTTAGAAACATGACAACTAAATTATTAAATATGCATACTTAAAAATATATATTGCATGAAAGAATAGTTTCAACACAAAACAGAGAGCTGAAAAATCTATGGACCATAAAAGTGCAAGTTTTTTTTTTTGTTATGATAGCTTTATACCCTTAGGGGCCATGTGGGGGTGGGGGGGTGGGGGCTACCAGCTAGGCTGTTAGGTTCCAATATGACCAGTTTCTCACTGTGGAATCAATAAAGTCTATTCTATTCTAAGTGTTATAAAATGTGGAGAATCGAAAAACATAATTGGAATAAAGCATAATTAAACAGAGCTTTGAATTTTATTTTGAAAAAGATCAGGTATTTGATTCAATTCTGTAAACTGGTTTTAGTCCAGAATTTGAGAGACAGCAGAAAGTGAAAGATCAATAGAAAACACTGATTATCCATCCATCCACCCATCCATCCATCCATACATCCATCCATCCATTCTCTTCCACTTCTCCGGAGTTGGGTCGTGGGGGCAGCTGCCTAAGCATAAAGGCCCAGACCTCCCTCTTCCCAGTCACTTGGGGGAGCCAAGAGACACACTCACTCAAGCAGTGTGTCCTGGGTCATCTCAGTAGCTTCACCCACGGGTGTGAACCACTCCAGCGAAAGCTGGAGATCATATTCTGATATAGCCAACAGGACCACATCATCTGCAAACAGCAGAAACCTAATCCTTAGTCCACCAAAGAGATACCCACAACACCTTGTCCATAAAAGTTATGAACAGAATCAGTGACAAAGGGCAATCTAAGTGGAGTCCAACTCTCACTGGAAACAAGCCCAAATACTGTCAGCACTGTGGACCAAGCTCTGACACCAGTCATATAACAGCCCATATCAGTACCCCCCACAGGGCCCCCGATGGATGCGGTCGAAGGGGTTAAACTGAGGAGTTATACAGAGGGGATGAATGACCTACAGTAGTGTTCTGTTTTACATCTGGAATGTCTCAGTCTGCCTCTGAAGGAGCTGTACATGGTCTCCACAGTGGAATGCAGTGGGTGGGAGTTTTTTTAAGATGGTGGTCATCTTCCCCAGCATCCCCCTATCACATGTCTCATCAACTGTATCCAGTGGGCAGCTCAGAACCAAGCTAGCTTTGTGAACTAGTTTGGTCAGTCTTTTCCTGTCTCGGTCAGAGCTGCCTACACCCCAACAGACCACAGCAGAGTGGATAACAGAGCCAACAACAGAAAGATAAAAGAATTTTAGCCACTTGGAATTAACTCCAAAGGACCTCAGCCTCCTCAGAAGGTGGAGGCAGATTTGGCCCTTCTTAAACAGAGCGTCTGTGTTGTGGGACCAGTTCAGTTTGCTGTTGAGGTGAACACCCAGGTACTTAAAATTATCCACCACCTTAATATCTGCTTCCTGGTGAGTGAGGAAGAGTGTTTCTCTGGAAGTCAATCACCATTTTCTTTGTCTTACTGGTGTTTAAGCGAAGGTGGTTACGCTCACACCAGTCAACAAAGTCCATGATGACTGACCTGTATGCCTGGTCATTCCCCTCAGACACAATGGCTGAGTCATCAGAGAACCTCTGGAGGTGACAGCTGCTGGTGGTGTAGAAAGTGAAGAGAAAGGGTGAGAGCACTGTACCCTGTGGAGCTCCAATACTGCACACAACCACCACAGATGTACAGTTGTACAGTCACACAAGCTGTGGCCTGTTGGTGAGGTAGTTGATAGTCCATGCAGTCAGTTTCCACAACAGAATGATAATAAAGGTACCAGCAATATTTGTATATCCATTTTTGATCATTTTTTAATTACTTTTCCCACTAATATCTACATCCCATTGAAAAAATGCACTGTTGCAAAACTTCTTCTTATTTAGAAATAAAATATTAGAAATAAATTACATTTATTCTAAAATGACAACAAATCTCTAAATGTTTAATAGAAACAAGCATTGCTGCCTTTGAAAAACCACAAACATCATAAGAACCCATCCTGCTAACCATCTCTTCAACAGCTTTTATGAAAGAGACATCACTGAACTGAATGTTGCTGCTAGGAGGTCACAGTGATTCTGCAGGACAATTAGTGCACTACAGCACCCTTACATTAATCTAGTCAATGCTGATACCTCAACAGGCTTAACCATTGCAATGGTCTCCTAACTGGTCTTCTCAAAAAAGCTGTGAAACAACAGCAGCTTATTCAGAATGCTGCTGCTAGTGTTTTAAGGAGAACCAAGAGAATCGAGCCCATTACTCCTGTTCTTAAATCTCTACACTGGTTACCAGTACACTATAGATTTCATTTCAAAGTGCTTCTACTAGTTTATAAATCACTCAATGGCATGGGGCCAGAGTACATGTTATATCTCCTTGCAGTGTATACACTCAGCAGGGCTGACATCCTTAGGAAGCGGTCAGCTGTCAGAACTTTGGGTCAGAACCAAACAGGGTGAAGCTGCTTTTAGCTACTATGCTGCTCACATATGAAATCAGCTTCTTCATGACCTCAAATGTGCCCCAACTCTAGAAACTTTTGAATCAAAATAGAAAATGTTCACGTATTCATCAGCCTAAGAATAAATGTTTCTTATGTTTGTTTTAGAATCCAGTACAAGGTGCTTTATGGGCTTTTAAATCTCTGCATGGCCTTGCTCCAGATGACCTCTCTGAGCTACTGTTTTTTGACTCCCCTGCACGGTCTCTGAGGTCGGCTGATAGGGTGCTCTTGGAAGTCCCAAAAACAAGCTCAGAGGTGATGGGACTTTCTCTGTAGCAGCCCCTAGGCTCTGGAATGCGCTGTTGTTGAGCATTAGGTCGACCTCTTCACTGTCTGGTTTTAAATCTCTTTTGAAAACCCATTTTTATGGTTTGGCTTTCAACTCAGCATGAGTCTTTTTTTAGTCGTTTTAGTGTTAGTCCTTAAGCTTTAGTGTTTGTGCTTTTTTATGTTGCGTATTTTAATTTCTGTGAAGCACTTTGGTCGGTGTTATGCTGTTGTAAGGTGCTATAAAAATAACGCTGCCTTGCCTTGCCTGCACCTTCTACACTGCTGCTGCTCACCCTTTGTTTATTTTATGTCTTACATGTGATTTACTTTTTTGTGTTTTGTTAAACTTAGCTTTTACAATCTGCTGTTTAATGTCATCACGCTGATTTGAATGTTTTGTGTTCTTGCACCTGGAAAGCCCATTGGACAATAAAGCTGCCTTGGCTTATTTGGAAAAAATCACAGAAGTTTTAACTGAAGACAAAGAGCTTAATTGAACAATTCAGACAGGATACTGCAGATTAAATAAAAATATTCCGATCTGAGCCTGTAGTTTGATCTGCTATTCCCTTATTCTAATAAAAACATTGCCTTTTATAGAAACTGTGACATTTAATAGTAAATTTGACACAACTACCAGTAAAAATCATCATATATGACCACCATTAAAACTGTAACCTAAAGAACAAGACTGGTGACTGAAACCAGTGACATCGTCGATGTAATGAAGGAAATTTAAACACATTTTTAAAATCTTTTTAATAAACCAGAAGTACACATCTACAAAAGTGTAGATCAATAGGATTTATGAAACTACAGTACAATCATTGTAGATCTTATTTACAATTGCTGACATAATTTATTTGTTCCATGGAATCTGATCATTTTTTAAGATAAATGAGCATCAAGGTGCTGGACTTACTAGGGAAGATAAAGATCGTGATACAAACAATGCCCAAGTTTAATCATGAATATTCAATGAATTGATCGGAAGACAAAAAGCAGAGTATTTTCCTTTTTTTGGGCTGAAGACATTTTTAACACGTTTCCTATTATTAACTTCTGGTCAGCTCTCTTTGCAAGAGTTCAAAATAACAATATGCAGGTTTATAATCTCAAATAAAGCATGTTAAATCACGTGTGCAAAGCTTTTAAGGTGTTTTTTTATGCACCCAGAAGGCAGGTCAGACAGCTGTGATACAGCGCCTAAAAACAAAAAGCATCTGGAAGCTTCTCTGGCAGAGCAAATGCAAATGAAGGATTGTAATAACCAAGTCAGTGGGAACAGTTTAAGAAGACTGCAGTGGTAAAAAGGTGTGTATTTTTAATATGTAAAGCAAAATCTCAACTATGGGAAATGTTTTTGCACCAATTTTCTGTTGAGACAAAAAGAACTGATATATGTTAAGGACTTCTGTTTTTTATAAATTGGAAGAACACAAAAGAAAAAAGTGCATAATCAATTAGAACATAAAAGGGCACTTTGTCATTTTGGTGCTATGTCTTGTTTCACTCTATAAATACTGATACAGCACAGCACCAATCCAAGGCCCAGAAGACAGTTGTGTATAAATGTTCCCCCATTGGAACCAGATCAAATACAAACACATAAAATAATCATGTCACCACTGAGATTCCTTCTGTCAAACTGAATCTTCCTCCCAGGAACGGGGTTTTCTCTTCTACAAACCACTTCTTGATTTCTGGACTGTGCACATAAAACGGTGAGGAAAGTGACAGCAAAAGGACACCGTCTGGCTTGAAATCACAGCCTTACTGCAACCTGAACACCTAAAGACCAACCAGAGACATTACATTGCACATCAAGAGGTTTACAAGCAAAATGGAATGGCTCCACCCACAAAATCAGTAGAAAAAAACGTGAAACGGAGATGTAAAATTGCTGCGAGGATGAGGAATAAAATGTACTGGCATTAAGGTTTCAGATGGTACAACATAATCTGTAACATATTTACATATCGTGGGTGCAGATCAAAGGTCAGTGCAAACATGTAGCAGAATTTAGGCTTCTGATGGCTTTGTGGAGGAAATAAATAGAACTTCATCAGCAAATGTGTTAGAGATGGTGACACAAGAATCGGGTTATAGACAGAAAAGCTTTGTTGTCTTCAGCGTCTCACCAGGAGACGGCCTTCAAAAGTTAACACAATTTTACGAAGTCGAAACTGTCAACAGCAGTTAGATCCACAGGTGCTGAAGGAAGACTCATCTACTCAGGGGCAAATACCTTTTTTAGTTTTCTAATTGATGACAGGGCAAATATGAGGAGGAGGAGGAAGACAATGGAGGAAGAATAAAATAGATATAATCAGAGTGTGCTCTGTCCAGTTCTGTCCAGCGGGGGACATCAGAGTGTGCTCTGTCCAGTTCGGTCCAGTGGGGGACACGGTTAAGGCGATGGTGGATGCCGACGCTCTGGTCTGATCACAGAAGAGAGCAGCGGAAGAAGCTGCTCTTCTTGGGCTGTTCTGAGATCTTAACTCCCTGATTGCTGCTCTGTGGGTTGTTACCCTCCTAAAACACACATACATTCATATTCATTCACATGAGAACAAGAAGCAATGAGACGCTGTTTTAATGTTCCCACTAAGCCACTGGTGTAGCTTTCATATCCATGGGTGCTAAAGGAAGACTCATCTACTCACCAGTTTCTTGTCCATCTTTGCTTTAATGTCCCTGGCGAGGGTCAAGAAGGCCTGCAGACAGAAACAGGCGAGTGTGTTACTAATCACAAAAAACACCCTGAATACAAACATGCCTTATTTTGCTTAAACACCAACTATACTCTACCAAAGTATAGGTTTATCCTACAACATTGACATTAGATTTCAATTCAATTTTATTTATATAGTGCCAAATCACAACACGTCGTCTCAAGGCACTTCACATAATAAACATTCCAATCCAGGTCAGTTCATTAAGCCAATCAGAAATAATGTTTCCTATATAAGGAACCCAGCAAATTGCATTAAGTCACTGACTAGTGTCAGTGAATCTAATCTCTTGGGGTCAATGTTCTTCTGCTAGAGATGTAGCCACCAGATAGGACAGAATGTCACATTAACATTTCCTCCTTTGTCTGCTGCTTTCATAAATGCAACAGTAGACTAAAGAGAGAAGACCGGATCTCAACAGATGAGTTGGCTCTTAATCAGAAGCACCAGATTGTTTTAAATTACCAACAGCACACAATAACTGGACAGCATATTATGGGATGTCTGATTTACAATGTCAGGAGTTTTCCTTCAACTTAGCAACAGAAGTTCTAGTTGTTTGACTTTCATTAAATGTTACGGTGTTGGCTGTATTTCACAGAAATACAATTTCCTCAGTAATTCGTGTTTTTATGACCATTAACAAGCCGTAACTGTCATCACTGCTTTTGTTGCACAAAATCAACTAAACACTTCTTAATAGGGACGTTCCGACTGATCAAAATCAGTTGATCTGTTAAAAAAAAATGTGTTCGGCAAATTCTGATCAACACATTTCAGAGCCGATCCTATCAGCTGATAACCTGTAGCTCACACCTTGTAGCCGGCAGGGACCCTGTGTGCAGCACTGTGGCCCCCCCAACCCCTTTCATTCACACTACACACGCGCGCAGAGGCAAAAGTATAAACGTACACGTCTGCTGAACGTTTGCTCCGTCTGTGAGAGTGATGTAAACCCTCAGCGGAAGCTCGTTAAAATGTGTCAACACAGCAGATTTAATAAGACTTTGAAAGAACAAACTCTGGGCAGAGTGGGGTGAGTTTTACTCCTGCAGAAAAAAAAATCCAGAGCAGCTAACCGAGTCAGACACAGCTAACACAGCTACACTAACAAACACTTGTCTGTATGAGCGTGACGGTCAGAAGGCTGAGCAACTAAACTGAAAAAATAATTAAAGTCATCACTCTGGTTGTGGACGACACTGGGTCCCACACACTAGGAGCCACTACTACGAGTAATAAATGAATGAATGAATAAATAAATCTAATAATAAATAAATTAAATCTAACAACACAACAACTTGAGACTTTTTTGGGGTCTTTCTGCACAATTTAGACTTTTGAGAGGTTTTAACGTTTTTGATTGGATCGTTACTGACGGCAGCTACATTCAAGTTTTTCAGTTTTCCATCCAAATCGTTGCTGCTTTGTGCAGCACGTTGGTGTAGATTCTCGGTCATCCTGGACATGTTCATCTTGAGATTTTAAATGAAAAAAGCTGGACTTTTATAGTCATCTTGAAAAGGTTTTGGCTCTCATCCAAGAGGCTCCTTCATTTCTAAAAGCTGGGCTGTGAGTAGGAAGCTTAGAAGTTTTGGTTAGAGACACTGATTGTGGTTTTTTTTTTTTTTTTTCGTTTTTCTTTCTTGAAAAAAGTAAAAACATGTTTGCCTAAATTAAGGTGAGGTTAATGTTCCCCTTTTCCCCATGATCATATAGTCAGTAGAACTCATAACTACATAGAAATGTTATGGGTAACAGGGGTTGGCAGCAAAAACCCTGACTGGAGCATCCCTACCTCTAACAACAAATTAATTAAGAATTTGCAGAAAAGGTGTAAACTCACATTCTCCACATTGATGTTTGCTTTTGCACTCGTCTCCATAAACTTGATGCCATACTCCAGAGCCAACTGACAGCAGGATGAAAGAAAATGTCAGAATCAGGCAAAGATTTAATAAGACAAAAGGTAACCACAAGACCATGATTCCTACATTTTCACCCCTTTCTTTGGACACCTGTCGCTTGTCATTGACGTCACATTTGTTCCCAAGGACCATCCTCTCTACATCCGCTGAGGCATGCTGAAGAGAAAATTCATGCACGGTGAACAAATATTTAGTTATTAATACTCCTAAATCCGAGCTTTGTAGAAAACCAGGCCAAATAAAAATGTTTTACCTCTTCTATATTTCTTATCCAGTTTTTGATGTTGTCAAAGGACTTCTCGTTGGTAATGTCATACACTAACATGATGCCCTGGAAAGTTCAACAACAAATGAAAATAGTCATTTTCTTAACATCAATTTATTGATAAACTTCCAAGTTAAACATCTTTCTTTTTGTAATTATCTAATAAAATAAATATATTTCTGGAATAAAACAAAAATAGGTATGCAGGTAAACCTGAACTAAAGGAGAGGCTAACAACAACATAATGGCTGGGATTTTAGAGGCGTGTAAAGTATAACATTAAGGGGTGTGGTTCTGGTAAAGATTTAAAATATGGTGCTGTCAGATGAGATGACAGACATGATCCATGTCACTGTATTATTTGTAAAGCCGACAGTGCAGATTACCATGGCTCCTCTGTAGTAGGCCGTTGTGATGGTCCTGAACCTCTCCTGTCCAGCTGTATCCCTACGCACAAACATTTAAGGTTACTCTGGTAAATTAGAGATTTCTCATATTTTAATTACCATAACATTATGGCTCAAAGAAGGATTACTTATTAAATTGATGTCATAAAACCACTTCAGGATTAAGCCAGCTTACCATATCTGAAGTTTGATCTTTTTGCCATCTAATTCTATTGTTCGGATTTTGAAGTCTATACCTAAAGAAAAAAAGTTACACCATTCATTATTTTGTTTTAAATTAAACAAAACAAAGAGTAGACCAACTGAATCTCCGATTCAGTGAATTAAACATTGATTGTTGATTTTTCTTAGAAGAGTGCGGATCATTTGGGAGTAACTTAGATGTTCTAGAAGTAGGTTGATCATTAAGGAAATGACACAGAACCAACTTAACCTAGCTTTGTTCCACCGCAAAGTACCCACGTTTCTGTAGTTTACACGGATACATTCGCAGCCAATTGATTAAAATGACATTCACCTAATCTTTATGAGGATTTAAGTCACGTAGAATACGAGTAAATGTCTTCTAAAGACATTTTAAGAAGCCGGTTGAGCATTTCCTGACTCGCCATTTAAGACAGGATGGATGTTAGCATGACGGGCTGGGCTGCTCCTGTACCACTTTTCAGCCAGCGGAACAGTGGTAATGCGACTTTTACTCACCTATAGTGGAGATAAACGTAGAGTTGAAGGCATCTTCTGAAAATCTGAAAAGCACACAGGTCTTTCCGACGCCAGAATCACCAATTAAAAGAAGTTTAAACAAGTAATCGTAAGTCTTCGCCATATTATTAGAGGTTAGCTCAATACTGCGGATATCCCGCCCGTTCCGGAGATGGACACGTGATCAACCACGAGGTGCTGATTGGTCGAATCAGCTGTCACTCTTCACTGTCGTCGTGGCTTCGAAGTGATGCGCTCCGGTCTGGGTGTGCCCGTTTTTATTCCTGAAACCAACCGGAAAATTCAGACGCTCTGAAATTTCACTGTTCAGCTGAAAACTGTATGAAGTAGTTCTTCTTCAAACAACAAACCTCATATATGAAGTGAAGCGTTGAGACGGAAATGTAGTCATAAAACCAAAATTAGACGTGAGCAGGATAAATTTGTTTTTCTTTCGTTTTGTAGCACCATCTTGTAATAAAACAAACATTCGTATTTGTTTCGCGGTTTTATCGCTAGATGTCTTCTTAAAAGTTTCAAAATTATGTATTTAAAATGTAAAGAGCAGTAAATCAGGAACCTTTTGTAAATAAAGTTTTATAGATTGTATTATAAAACGTAATCACAGTTAGTATAACATAAAATGTAACAAAATATAACCACTGTCTGATGTATGTATGGCTAAAATAAAATATTCACTAAAATTAATAAACTTATCCACACAGGAAACCACATTCACACTTTTAGCCACAAAGAATAAAACTACAAAGTGTTATAATTCTATACATTTTTGGGGCTACAAAATTAACCATGCAACTATAAAAGGTAAATTGCAAATGTACATTGCAAACCATATAACAAAAGCTGACACCCAAGCACAAAAAATCTTTAAAATGGTAAATATTCAGTACCAAACATCACATTTAAAATGTAATTATTGACGCACGTTATAGAAACAGTCGTTTCTCAGATATTTTCAAGGTTCTTCTTTTTTTTCTTTTTGCCTCTTGATTGTTTTCTACATTTTAAATAAGCCTATTTAATATTTATCAAGGATCTGTAGCTCCTCCCTGAAGAAAAGGACTCACCTCCTCCTCAGCCTCTGTCATCCACTTTCATCAGATACAGCAGGACAGAGCAGGTGAATCTGGTGGTATACTATATACTTTGACTTCAGTTTAATTTGTACTGAACAGGAAAACCAAGGTGATCAGCAGCAAACATGTCTGTAAGTAAAAATGCTGTTTCCTTCTTTGTTTTATGGTTTATGGATGTTTTGATCTGTCAAAGACAGCTGATTGAAATTGCAGCGTGACGCATTTTAAAACAAAAATGTCTTTTTTGCTAATGCGTGAAAATAATTAGTGGAAACATTAGCAAATTATGTTAAAATATAGTCATCATTGTGTAGATTGGATAGGTATAGCGCATTGACATATAAATACAGCGCTTGAACTTGTCTGGGCATGTTTCTTTGACATCGCCTGTAAAGTATTTGTCAGACACTAGGGGGCAGTAAATGGCAACACATGGAGTTGTTGAACTGTGATCCTGTTGAACCGAGAGCAGTGCGATGTCAAACTTTTACTTTATTTATTTATTCAGCTGGCTAAAGATTTGATGCATCCCAGCCCATCAGAGGAAAGAAGAAGACACAAGAAGAAGAGGCTGGTGCAGAGCCCTAACTCCTACTTCATGGATGTCAAATGCATAGGTAATCTCCCCCCCCCCCCCCCCCCCCTAAATCACCATGCATGACATAACCTTTGCTAATATTTCATATTTAAACACACCACAGGATGCTACAGGATCACCACCATCTTCAGCCATGCACACACAGTGGTGGCTTGTCCAGGTTGCACCACTATCCTCTGCAGGCCAGGAGGTGGCAAATGCAAACTAACCGCAGGTGGGACAAAATTACAATATACTTTTAAGCATCTTAATGCAAACACAGCATTAAACATATATTTGTCCAAACAGGTTGTGCTTTCAGAAAGAAATATTCATGAGCAATCCACCGAATTGCCAACAGGTGGTAGAATGGACCACAAATGGAAGAATCTGATGCATTCTCTATGTTGCAACTCTGGAGGAAAAATAACCACTGGCATTTTAATCTGCTAATGGGTTTTCAAATCAAATATAAGAGGACCAGTGTAAGAAAAGATTACTGATGCTGTCCATGAATACAACCAGAATGAAGGGACGTACGTAGCAGTGTAAAATGCTTCTGTGAAATGTGTAGAAATGCAGAAAAAGAAGCCAAATGAAACAGAACTTCTGTAAAACATTTATTTATTGTGTTGGGGGGGGGGGCTTAACATACAGTCTCAATCAAATGTGAGGCAAGACATGAGCAGAAACCTTAAACATCACAAACAATAATAAAACATTCGACGATTCATCTTCTGTTTCATGTGTTTTCTTTGGCTTTCAAATTTCCCCTGGAAAAAAGAATGGGTCTACATAGAAAGGAAAAACTCCCAAGAAATACGTGATCATATTACCTAACATATTTCTACTATATACAATCCACCATTGATAAGACTTGACTGAGCTTCCAGTGGTTTGGGGGCTAAACTCACTCATGTTTGACAATAAATTGGAGTAAATATTGGCTACATTTTTGGAATTGTGTAAACTGTGGCAAACTGAAAGGTCAGAATCCCACAAATACTCCAGTTTGATGCACTAAATGTTCCACATGTCAGCCTCAGACGGGTCAAAGCTGTGCTGGAGAGGCTTTAGAATCAAGTTGAGTGTAAATAAGTATAAAGTACATCAGCAGCATGAGCCTTAATAGTGTATGTCACTGAAACCTTTCCTTTTGGCCACTGCAGTTTAAATTAATCAGGATGATGCAGCTGAAAACAGGCCAGGCTTAGTGAAATGTCTTATGGATGTAAAAGTACATCACAGGAAGGGAGATAAAAAGGGGAGTAACTTCATAATCACAACAATCTGGAACGTCAGAGCCACACTTAACGTGGCCTGAGTGAAACCCAGCATCACCTGTAGCCTGTAAAATAAAGTCAGATAAAAGAACTTTATTAAGCACATGTAAACATGATAAATTGAGCCAGTTCTCGTCATTTACTGATCAAATACGTGGCTTTTTTTGGACAAATTTGTTGCTAGTTTTTTTTTTTTTTTTTCATTATTAGGTGATCAAAGATCATTTGGGGAGGGGGGGGGGTGCAAAGGCAAGTGGAAATGAAAGGTGATGAGTTAAGAGGATTTCATCTCTTCAAAAATAAGAAAAAATAACACCCAAGGATCAAGCATCAAGTCAATTCCCTCTTATGTGGAGAGTAAATGTGGAATGGAGTTGAACATTTATTGGAATGCTAACGACATCTCATCTTCTCAGTGTGTGTGTGTGTGTTTATAAGCTGTTCAGTTCCTGCAGGGTCTGGTCCAGGACTTTGTGCATGCCCACATTCTCCTCTTTGGCATGTGATAATTTTTCTGGGGAGAACAAAAAGAAAACGTGACACAGTGAACTCTAACCACCAGCTAAAAGCTGCTCATGTCGAGCTTAATGTCCTTGAAGAATCCTAGAAAACACACACGGAGCACCGTTTAACTGAGCTGGTGTTTTTGCATAAATGCTGTGGTTAACCTGTGCCACATGCAAACAAATTCAACCACAACACAGCGCCTTTTATGCATGAGATGCCAACTGCCGCAGGACTGTTGGAATAAAACACAGACTTGCTAAATTACTTGTGCATGGTTCTGTAGATGCATTTGTGAGCTTTATATCTTGTAAGACTTTAGATCAAAATGTTTGTGTTCTAAAAAGGTGAAAATGTGTATTAACTGAAACCAAAATGTTGAGTAAATATCACCAGAAATGCTCACCTCGTTTAACTGATTTAATGAACAGGATGAATCAGGATCCCTCATTAGAAAAACCACAGTCAAGCTTTCAAGTTTTGCTATTTTAATGCAAATATATATAGGAACAGAGACAAATGCAGCAAAGAAGGAAATAAAGATATTTTAATTTTTTTTTTCTTTGCAAAGCAAGATAAGCAAAAGGCACATATGACCTGCAGAGAGATTGTTCAGAGCAGCACGGGTGCAGAAAAGAGATGTTTAAAGAGATATCATGTCATTGAGGGCATGGTCCAGTTCCTCACTAATGGCCTTGTACTTCAGCTTCTGAGCATACAGCTCATCTGGAGGTCAGAGGTCAGCAGCGAGTACAGGCAGGGGCGGCAGGAACAGCAGCGACACAAGCAAGCCAAAAGCAGCACGAGAGACAGATGGAGGCAGAAAGGAGCGGAGGGAAGGTAGAGAAGACAAGAAAAATAATTAGGTCAGGCTTTTAAAAGATGCAGGAATGTTTGTCTAATCAGGGTCACAGATCTTTCTGCTGGGTGAGCTTCCAGGGCCTGTTCTTGTAAAGTTCCTCCAATAACTCGGCTCCCTGGTTCATCAGCTAAATAATGCTAACCTACAAAACACACATGCACACTATCCTCTGCAGCACGGCTGGCCCCGAGTCATCGCCCTTAAGAAAATACACATCCTTCCTTTCTTGGGAAAAGTTTCCACGTGCATTCAAATCAAATGTGCAGATGATTGGACGCTTAATGTTAATAACAGAAAAAAAAAGATTAAAGAAGAATGTTATTGTCTCAAACCTTCCAGGTCATCAATGGTCTTTTCCAGTTTGGCCACTGTTCTCTCTGCAAACTCTGCTCGGGTTTCAGCCTGGATGAGGGTCAATAAGGAATTATTCCCAGTATGCAGCATGGAAAAGCTTCTAGAAACCATCTGAAGTTATAAATGCATTCACATAATAATCAAAATAAATGTATATAAGCCTTTTAATGGTGTGGGTGACTGAAAAAACATTTTAATGATCATTTCTGATTATAACTGCTCACTCTGTTTTTCATGCATGAAAACAGTCTCCTACACCTTCCTCCTGCATTAGCTTCTCATAGAAAATGCTAGGATTTGAAAATCCTCACATATCTATGTCACACTGTGAATTTGCATTCATGGCCTCACCCATCTTGGCTCATGCCTGCCCACAGGAAGCCTATTTAGTATTTTGTTTGCAGCGAGGAAAGAAAGCGGAGAGTGTCCTGGTGATACTGACTGAAACATGGCTGAACGTGTTCTGCTAGCCAATCAGAAGCAAGGCTTGTGCATATCATTAATAATAATGAGTAATCCTGCTGTTTTCAGTTCACCTCTGCACCAGCAATCTTCTGCATCTCAGAACAGGAGCATCATGGCTTTTATTAAAATGACTCATATGGTATTGATTTACACTAGAGAACACTGCAAATGTATTGAATAAACGAGTAAACCACACCTCCTTCAGTTTGTCAGTCAGAACTTTGATCTCCTCCTCGTACTTGTCCTCTTTTTCTGAGTACTGTTGACGGAGACATTGAGGGAAAAAAGAAAAGAAAAAACAGAAGCTCGTCAGTGGCAGGAACAAAAACTAGTTCCTGCTTGCTTTTGCCTGCAGATGCACCGAGCGTGAACATCATCCAGGGGTTGGAACTGAGCATGATGGGATAACGCATAACAGGAATTTAACTGGTATTAAAAAGATGTCGATCTGTTCTGGGAACAAGCCGGGCAGAGATGAGATGAACAACTCAGCTCGCCGGGCAAATCAAAACCCAAGCGAACAGCGGACCAAAAAAGGAAAGTGGTCATGTGGCTAATCTGGCATGTTGTTCTGCATGCCTGTGCTTGGAGGAGAAAACAAGCAGAAAGAAAAGTGCTGCAGGTTTTAGCGGATGACACATACCGACACACCTTGCATAGCCATTAACCATGAATGTGGCCGCCCTGGTGGATGATTGTTCACACAAAACAGAACAAATATTGATTTAAAGCGCCTTCATCACAGCTCTTCACATGTTTTAATACAAACCCTGAAGTGAAAAGGCACGATCGTGTTGAGGAGATGATAACGGCACGCAGGCTAGGTAGAGCTATTGTGACACAACACTAGCCTAGTGAACTAGACCAAATTCTTGCTTTGCAAAGTTTGGTCTAGGCATGCTCCATTGGAACCTCCGCAGCTCCTACCAGGACTCTGGCTAGCCAATCACAGCTCTCTAGAGGGGTTTCAAACACATAAAGAGCTGTGATTGGTCCATAATGGTGGGCCAATCATAGTGCTCTATCTGCTTAGTGAACAAATCACAGAGCTTTATCCGCTTTGTGGGCCAATCAGGGCACTCTATATGCCTGGTGGGTGGGATGATGCAACAGAGTGAAACAAGAGTATGTCACATTCTTTGTCCATTTGAAAGACAACGGTAGAACCCGCCCCACAACCGAGAGCCGTCAATGGAGCGTTGCCAGACTAAATAATACATTTATTTAGTCTGGCTTGCCAGGCTAACACAACACCTCAGTGATGCATTAATGACTGGACCCCTAAGTTCACTCCAGACATCACCGTTTATATTTAGACTGCGTGTTTATGAGCGTGCCATTGATGAATCGTTATCATAAAACAGAAATGCACCAGTCAGCTTCCAAGAATACTTCCTGTTTTGTAAAGAGCTGAATCATCTCTAAAGTCAATAGCTGATGGCTAACAAAAACAATTCTAATATTAAATCATTAATATAAAATAATTATTTTAAACCAGATCACATCTATATCTAAAATGCTTCTGATGGTTGTTACAAATAAATTAGGTTACACAACATGTCATTAAACATAAAAGAGCACTAGATGATTAGGAAAGTGCCTTTTGTTAAAGATGTTAAATGCATTGCTAATAAATTACATTTATACTGTTTGTTCTGTTAGAAAAGTAAATGAAATCATTTAAAATGCAAACTCTGTAGGTTACGGCCTGATACTTGTGGTTATTAAACCTTGAAATCTTCATTTTGTACCCTGGTTGTAAATGATTGGTGTGACTGTAAGCTAGGGTTGTCACGATACTAAAATTTCAAACTCGATTCGAAACTGAAAAAAAAAACTCGATACTCAATTTCGATACTATTTAAAAACACCAATTTATTGAACAAGTTTATTCAAAAAATAACATTCCTCAATTTATAATGCAAAAATCTAATGTTAAGAATTAAGTGTATAAAGTGCTTAAACCTTTCATGTATCAGCATTTTTTAAAACGTGCATACAAAAACTGGCGAAAGTTAACACTTTAAATCCTGAATTGTCTCACTATACATACACTATTTTGCTGCTTAAACTCTGTTTAAGGTGCATTTTTGTCATTAGATGTAATGCCATATGTTTTGTTCTGTACTTTTGAACAACCCTGTTGGTCAATAAAGGGAGAAAACAAATTTCTCCACAGTAGGACAAAGGTACATCTACCAGTAATCTTAATAAAAACAGATTGGCGCACGGCAGTGACGTCATTAAAAGCGCTGGTTAGATTAGCCGCGGCTAGTCTGTTTACGCCTAGAAATCCCAGACCCGCTCCAAACGAACAGGGAGAATCATTAATGATTCCTAACAAAACCTTTCGACTTTGAGATGTTTTGGTGCAGATAATGTCTTATTCCGAGGCTGCACCATGGGTGCCCGTCCGCACCCGTTATACGGATATACGCTGATGGCGATTTGCCGATGGAGCTAAATACCCCGGGGAATCCAAGTAGCACCAAAGTTGTCAGCGTGAGTAAACAAACGAACTGCATGCTAGAAATTAAGTCCGGGTTGCAATAAACGGGAGTTTCCTTTAAGCATATATGCGCAAATAAACAACTACTTGTCGGACTTGGTATGCTAATTAAGTTGGGCTGTGAAGCGCCTCCCAAATTCGCTGTTTATGTTTTTGTTTATTTATTTGGCAGACAAAACTTGGATCGGAGACAACTCACGTGGGAAATTGCAATGTAGCCATGCGGCGTCTTCTTCTGTTTGTCTGGGAGGTGGAGGTTGCTTTACGGCATCTGGCTGTCGTGCGTGTCGGTGTACTTGAAGAAGGCTGTGTATGTCCATGATATCGATACCACAGGGATGGAATATGTAATTTAGATACCACTTTTAGTATCGATTTATATCTAGGTATCGATTTTTTTGACAACACTACTGTAAGCTGGTCTCACACGTGTCACATGATTTATGTGTCAGCTGGTTCTGAGCTTCTCTGGCTCCCACAGACTCTTTTAGATATTCTGAAAAGCTGACAACGCCTTTTTCGTCGTTGTCTTCCTCCGTTTATCCGGGTCCAGGTCGCGGGGGCAGCATCCAACTAGGGAGCTCCAGACCGTCCTCTACCCGGCCACCTCCACCAGCTCCTCCGGCAGGACCCCAAGGCGTTCCCGGAGCAGACTGGAGATGTAACCTCTCCAACGTGTCCTGGGTCGACCCGGGGGCCTCCTGCCGGCAGGACATGCCCGAAACACCTCCCCAGGGAGGCGTCCAGGAGGAATCCTGACAAGATGGCCAAACTACCTCAACTGACTCCTCTCGATCCGAAGGAGCAGCGGTTCTACTCCGAGTCCCTCCCGAATGTCCGAGCTCCTCACCCTATCTCTAAGGCTGAGCTCAGCCACCCTACGGAGGAAACTCATTTTGGCCGCTTGTATCCGCGATCTTGTTCTTTCGGTCATTACCCAAAGCTCATGACCATAGGTGAGGACTGGGACGTAGATCGACCGGTAAATCGAGAGCCTGGCTTTCTGGCTCAGCTCCCTCTTCACCACGACAGATCGGCTCAGCGCCCGCATCACTGCAGACGCCGAACCAATCCGCCTGTCAAACAAAGCCTTTTTCACTGGGTAAAAACTTCCACATCAACAAAGCGTCTGTGACTAAATTGTCCAATTTGTTATGGAGACTTCATGAATCAAAGGGGGAATGGACTCTGGTGCTGCTGACCATCTAAAGAAGGTCAAATCCAGTCGTCTGTTTAGTGGTCCTTCTGATGGCGTAGCAACTTGCTGAAATATTTGTTCATGTTGTTGAGCAGCACCTCTCACAGGTAAAGGTGTCACTATAAAACAAGTTAAATACTGTGTGTGGCTGCTTCCTGTGAGTGAACACAAAAACCTATTACCCCCCTGCAAAGAGTAACGGATGAGTACGCACGCGCGCGCGTGCGTGCGTGCGTGTGTGTGTGTGCATGTGTGTGTAAATGTAGTAGTTGCCACAGATCCCAGCCTCACCTTCTCAGCCTGGGCTTCTAAAGACTTCAGGTTGTTGGTCACATTTTTCAACTCCTCCTCCAGGTCGCTGGCTTTACTGTGATGAAAAAATGAGTTGCATTTACTTTTATGGTGACAATGTGCCGGTGTGTGTGTGTACCTGTGTGTGTGTGCGTGCGTGTGCGTGTGTGTGTGTGTGTGTGTTGGCTTTACCATTCAGAGAGCTCGGCCCTCTCCTCAGCTCTTTCCAGCTCTCCCTCCAAGATCACCAGCTTCCGGGCCACCTGAGAGCAACAAGATAGTCACGTTGTTTACAGGTGATGATTTTAGCCTCGCAGAGTGATTAAACCAGAACTGAAGCCACACCTCCTCATATTTACGGTCAGCTTCTTCTGCGATATGTTTGGCCTCCTTCAGCTGCATCTCCTGAATCTCCATCTTCTCCTCGTCCTTCATTGCTCTGTTCTCAATCACCTTCATCCCTCTGATTGGACAGGAAGCAGAGAGGAAGAAAGACAGAAGTGAATTTTGTTAAAAAACAAAAATCAATTAAATAAAAACTCCCGGCGATGGACAAGTGTTTCAGAGATCTGACCTCTCGCTTTCATCTGCAGCCTTCTCTGCCTCTTCCAGTTTCTGCAGCGCTGTGGCCAGTCTCTCCTGGGCTCGGTCCAACTCCTCCTCTACCAGCTGGATCCTACGGTTAAGAGCTGCTACATCACCCTCAGCCTGGGGGGCACAATGAAGAAGAGAACTCTGGTCATGCATTTTGTATTTCAATGTCACCAGAGAGTGAAAGTGAGGCAAATCAGAAGACAGGTCAGTGAAGAAAAGGGATGTTTGGGCTTTTGTTGATTATTTCATTCAGGCGTTTGAAATTTGTGTTTGATGACAAAAAATATTTTACTTACACATTAAGCGGTTTAAACTGGCGACAGGAGGACTCGTTTGAACATTTTTAAAAGCATGAAACTGACAAGGGTGGCTTTTGTGACCATGATGAGTTTCCACCTCCGCCATCAAACCAAACCACTTCTGTCTTACAGAATCACACACAGACATGTTAAGGTAGACCTCCCCCAAAATAGGACTAGACTGTTTGTATGAACCCATCATTGCTCTCTGTAATAAATATGCAAAAACAAAATGATTGCCTTTGAATTTGAGTGTGTGCGCTGCCTCTGGAAAACAAGTCCTGCACATGGATCTGCATCTGTTAAAGATATTCAAATATAATCTCACGCTGCCATGACAGGGAAATGTTCTGCCTTTATCTTTCAGTTATTTTAATCATTCGTCACTAACCGGCTGTATCCAAAACACAAAACTACAGCTGAACTCTGAAACCCTCTGCTTGCTCTGTTATGTTTTTTCTTGTTTCTCAAATCAATAGTAGGAAGTTCTGGGAGGACCTCCTGGGGCTACACAGACCACCTGTGATGAACGTTCTGGCAGGAAAAAAATAATCCTTTTTAATATCTGAAAAATCCAAGAACTTTCTATTCCAAAAGAAAACTCAATTTCCGGTGAATGCAGAACTCAGCCCAGCAGGGTTGTTTTTATTTCTCATCTGCCCTTGGTAAACAAAGACCAAGAGAGGAAAACCAGAGCAAACCCACAAGAACTTCGTCCGATCCACGCAAAGTTTATCCAACCATCCTCTCGTGGGGGGCCGCTTATCTAACTGGACAACAGTCTAACAAGTGCATCGCAAGAAAAAACAGATATCCCAATTTTAAAGGTGTGGTTCACTCATTTAATTTGGACATTTGCAGTGGTCTCTAGTAGGAATGACTGTCTTGTAAGTAGCCCTGGTGTGCCTGTTTCAGGACCTAGAAGACTGCCACATCAGAGGAGAGCTTCAGACGACAGGATTTGGAGTCCTACTTCCTGATATTTTGACATCTCACCTCTGATTGGCTAACAGTAACGTGACTCTACCGCTGACAGTTTGCTCTGCAACAAGGATGTTTTATCTCCACAAAATAACACAAGCTTGGAGGAGTTCTGATGTGTGGTGGAGTTGCTAATGCCCACAGTTAGCTTCTGCAGAGACGTTCTCTGCTGCTTCCTGGATGCTAAACCAACAACACAACTGAACTGTTCTTCCAAATTCTAAATAATCACACAGGTTTGCTCCGTTTTACCTGAAGGGTGAGGTGGGGCAGCAGTTTGTAGGTCAGTGACTCATTAGCTTGTCAATGAGTCCAGAAGTCAGTTCAGCAGTCAAATGTCATTTAGTTTACAGGTGGGTGAGTCACACTGCAAAGCATGAGGCGAGACTGAAGCGAAAGCAGCCAGAGCAGAAGATGTCTGAGAATAAATATACTTTCATTCTGGTCCAGATCTCTGTCAAATTCATATGTAAGCATGGTTTCCTGCTTGCTGGCAGTGACCTCCATCTCCCTGTCTCTTTTTAAATGTAAAAGATTTCCTCCATCTTGTCTCCATTTTAGCTTACTGTTGTAAAACTGGTCCATTTTTCCACCGATTGTCTACTTTGTCCAAAAGCACCAGGGGAGTCTGCTGATACGAGACAGGAAACGTTTGTCAAACTGTCATTGGTGTGTCTTCCAACAACCAGTGCATGTAAGCCTAACCCAATACAGAATGGATGCAAGAAAAGGAGCATGAATCTTTCTGAACATCTTGAATTCTCATCAGAAGCATACTGCTCACACAGGTCAGCATCTGTCAACACCACATCTGGCCAGTGAAACATGTTGCTTGGGCTTAAACTGAAGCCTGAAATAACAGATATAGTAACTTCCTGTGTCCTGGATGGAGTACGGTAATGTGTTGGGAAGAATACAGTCTGCAGACAAACAAACACGCTATTCATGCAGTTCAGGTCAGCCGCAGACACACGAACGGCTCCGAATATACACACACACACACAGTCGCTCTCGTTCCGCCAATTCCTGGTTTTCTCTAAACAAACACTCACACACAATTATGATTCATGCTGAAATAACACAACAAGCCTGCTAAAACCACTACAGCGATGGCAGGCTAACGTTTGCTATTCAATGTGTGTAACCCAGAGTTTTATCAGTCATCAAACGTTCTGAAACAGGGGGGTGGGTCCTCACACACAGACAGCCTTGTGTCAAGTGTAAGACCTTGTGTGTGTGTGTGTGTGTGTGTGTGTGTGTGTGTGTGTGTGTGTGTGTGTGTGTGTGTGTGTGTGCGTGTGTGTGTGTGTGTGTGTGTGCGTGTGTGTGTGCGTGATTTCCTGCCTCTATGTCTGTGAAGCATGACTGTGGAATAGGGGAGAAAGCCCAAGGGTGCAGTAGTACGAACCGACTATCCTGCTGCTTTAGAAAATCATTTAACCAGAGACGGTGGAGCTGCTCAAGAACGTTCATATGAGAGGTCTGTCACCTAAACAAATAAATGGGATCTCCAAAAAAGGTAACAGGAACTTAGCTGGCCAAAACATCCCTTCTTTTCTCTCCCTATGATTGTTCTTTCTTTTGGTGCCAGTGGTCACTCCTCGTCACTCTGGTCGTGCCCCGTCCTTTAGCACCCAATTTTCATTCTCCAACTCCCTGGGACACGCTAGCACGCACGCGCACGTGCGCGCACACACATACAGATTCCAGTACCATTACAACTTAACAGATTTCACCAGCTCTGCTTACTCAACATTTCCATCTAAAGCTTTTAATGCTACGTTCATTCATACTCGTGCACACCAGAATGTAACTTGCTTCTGTGTATGAAATGTTCTATATAAATAAAGCTGCCCTGTGTTAACCTAGTTTTGCAGGTCTAAAGGCAGAAAACAGAGTACAATCAAAAATTAAGGCTCAGAACTAGGAGTATGTATTGGCAATATTCTTGCAATATGATAGGCATCACATACAATGCGATATGTTGCGACACTGAAGCCAGACAATATTTTCTAATTTTAAGACTTAATTTAAAGCTGCTTTAGCGAATCTACAGAACAAGCTAGGTTTTGAATGCAAACACGGTCACAGAGCACTCACCCCTCCCCTCGGGTATCTTCTCTGAGACCATTTTAAAATCACTACATGTTGTTTGTCCAATATGTACAACAATACTAGGGATGCACCGATATGAATTTTTTAGGCCAATACCGATATTAATATCACGGCCGATGACCGATATTTGCCGATACTGATATACTGACATTAATGCTTCTAAAAACAGATTTTGTAAAGAATGAAAATAATTAAAGCTGATTTTATGTAATTATGTACACACACCACACACATTTGAGCTTCTGAGATGATTACAATCACTGTCACATGACACACACACACCCCCAAAACAGATTAACAAATGAAAACAAGATGGGAAAAATATCGGTTGTTAACATCAGCCCAGTTTTATATATCGGACCGACAGCGATACGCTAAAAAACGACTATCATCCGATGTCGATATATTGTGCATCCCTAAACAATATAATAATATAGAGCCTTTTTTCTCACCAAATTCAAATGGTGTGTAAGGCATGAACTGAAGTAGCTTCACACAGTCTTTTACAAACAGTGAAAATAAAATATATCTACACCTTTCCTGTAGTAGCTGTTCACACGAGGGCTTCGTGAAGGTACATTTGCTCCTGAAGAGTCGCAGTCACAACTGAAACAGAGGGACTAACACCTCTCTCAATCACATGTAATGGAAGAGAATACAAACTGTGTGATAGAAAAATATTGATTTTTTTTTTACATCACGTCAGATGGTTATGACAGTTATTGTCCCTACTGTAGCGTTTGGTAAATTAGTAGTGAGAAATTCCTCCTAAACTTTAATGTCCCTGTCGATAATTTGCTGAAGTTCGGGCTTGTTTTAGTCGGACTTTAGTCAAAGGCCTTTGATTGTTGGTCTGGAATTTAAATGGTAAATGGCCTGTATTTGATATAGCGCCTTCTAGAGTCCTGGAACCCCCAAGGTGCTTTACAACACAGTCATTCACCCATTCACACACACACATTCACACGCTGGTGGGGATGAGCTACAATGTAGCCACAGCTGCCCTGGGGCGCACTGACAGAGGCGAGGCTGCCGAGCACTGGCGCCCCCGGTCCCTCCGACCACCACCAGCAGGCAAGGGGGGTTAAGTGTCTTGCCCAAGGACACGACAGCGACAGACTGAGCGGGGCTCGAACCTGCAACCTTCCGATTAAAAAAACTTCTCATTTACGCTTTCCTAAAAATTGTCCCATTTATTCTTATTAGTATTACTTTTTTTTTTTTGAATAAGCAATAAGTTGACATTTTTCCACAAAGGCAGAGTCGATATTATAACATTCCGTCTTCTATACCAAATCGACAACTGAAAAAACGTTAAAACTATTTTGTACCAAAAGTGCAGTCCTGTTCGGCGAGACTTTAGGACTAACCGAGTGTGTTACATGCATTAGAGACTGGATCAAGGACAAATGAAACAGGAACCTAATTACTGGCTGATTCCAGGGCAGTGGGCTAATGAGCTGCACAATGCTGTTGGTGTTCAGGGGAAGTTATTCCTGACACTAATGCTGCTGCAGCCAGAATGCATGTAATCTCCTCTCACATGCAAAGATGAGGGCATAAAGCATGATATGTAAAAAGTATCATTATACATTCAGACAAGAATTACAATGAGCACTCTCTTACATGTAAGTTGTTGCTGTGTGCCTGAGCTATCTGACTTGCAGGATATTAATCTCCTGTCTAATCCTGACTAGAGAGAAAATGCAACCCATTTATTAACTAAACATGAACAAAGCATGCCAAGATCAATGTTAAAATATGTTATTTCTGAGCAAGAAAAAGGTAGTCAAATATCTGCATCTTTTCATGTTGTTTTCATTGTGAACAAGAGGCTTTTCTACAATGACTTAACAAAATACAAAAATAACACAAGGCTTACTGAACTTTGCAAACCCTCCAACAAAATTAAGTTTTTAGTTGGTCCCAGCTCTACTCCACACAATGAAGACCACATGCAAAACCATCATAGCAAGGTCAGCTTCACTGTCCTAAAAATTCATCTATATTCTAGTCCTCACTTGTACGAAAACCCACAAACTTGGCTTACCTAACCACCTGAGCAGCTATCGTGGGGGTGTTCCCCAAAACACCAGTGACCACCATTTAGCATCAACATGTGCCCATTATGTTTGGAAAGTTGAGCTATTCTCAAAGAATAGGTCCAAAGAAAACACTAAATAAGGACGGATGCTGCTAAAAGGCCCTACACAAAACCAAACAAGGCCCATGCAAAGCAGCAAATGCCTTACTCCAATAAACCAACGAACCATTACCAGCTGAGTCATTCTCAGAAGGCTGCATGTAGTTAACCTGGTTGTAAGAGTAATTGTCAGAGACACAACAGAAAAGAAACCACAGTGGAGGACTGAGTGCAGATGGATTACTCAAACATCCAGTGTCTGTTTGCCCAGGGTGCAGTAGAACAGTAATCAGAGCATAATTCAACATGACCTATGGTACAGGAAGTAGAACTAAATACCACTTAGAGAAAACTGGAGGAAACTTTCTGTACATTTTGAGTAACGACCAGAATCATGTGTTAGCCTAGTGAACTGGGCCGAAATCTAGCTTTGCAGAGATTGGTCTTGGAGCCGGCCAAGGGCAAGGCTACCCTTTATCACCGATTCTGTTCTTAACTTTTATGGACAGGATTTCTAGGTGCAGCTAAGGTGTTCCGGGGATCCATGTTGGTTGCCTAAGGATCTGGGGTCTTATTTATCAAACATTGCGTAGAATCCTTACTAAAACCGTACTTAAGCTCAGCAAAAAAAATGTACTTACGCCAAGTAGGTTTGTGATCCATCAAACATGGAGTACGCACAGCTGCACGCAATCTCCGCTTCATAAATCAGAAACTATCTAGAAATGTTCTCAGCTACATTTTAGTCACATCCCGCCCTCACCACGCCCACTTACTGTCATAAATAGTCAATGCAAAGTGCCTTGTGGACCTCATGCATATACATAAGCTGGCTTGTTGCAGCATTTCGATCACGACCGCAGATCAAGGAAGCGCTATTTCACAGAAGCAGAAATTCAGGTACTTGTGGGTGAGGTGGAGAAATGAAAGGAAGTGCTTTTGCAAAACAAATAAGAGAAAATCCACAGACTGGCACAGCGTTGCTGAAGCCGTCAATGCTGAGTTCTTCAGGGAGATCTGTGGCAGATATAAAAAAAAAATGGTCCAATCAGGATTCGATCCCCAGACTCCCGGGTGAAAGTCACCCGCGCTAACCAGTTAGCCAAACGGAGATCTCCCCTGTCCAAGTAGCCAGGGCGCATGATCAATCGGGTCACATTGACAGGACACACACTGTCACAGACGCATGACATTCTGTCTCAATCTGTCCCCCTGCTGATATTCTGCATTCCGTATTCTGCGCTTCAGGCTGTGTATGTGTGTGTACGCACGTGTGTGTGTGAGTGAGCGCATATATGTGTGTGCGTGCGTGTGTGCGGGGTCTTGTTCTGTGTGAAAACGAAGCTGTACAAGTGATAATACCGCAGGATTTCATAATTTTATCCTTCTCAGCAGCAGCACTGCAGGTGCTCTCCATGTCCAAAATGTGTGTAAGCCAGGTCCTTAGTCAACTTAAAGTTGCGCACATTTTTCCGCTAAGTTTTCTTTCATAAATCCCAAAGTTTGCGTGGAAAGTTGCTTACGCAGTTTTCCGGCCCCGTTTTGTGCGTAAGCACGCTTGATAAATGAGGCCCCAGGTCTCTGGTTTTTGCAGATGATGTGGTCCTGTTGGCTTCATCAGCGGTTCGCAGGCTGGGAGGAGAATCAGCTCCTCTAAATCCGAGACTATGGTCTTGAATCAGAAGAGGGCAGAATTCCTTCTCTGGGTCAGGGATGAGATCCTGCCTCAAGTGGAGGAGAAGTATCTTGGGGTCTTGTTCACTAGTGAGGCAAAGATGGAGCAGGAGATCAATAGGCAGATTGGTGCTGCGACAGCAGAGATGCGGGCGTTATACTAATATATATATATATATATATATCTGTCGTGATGAAGAGAGAGCTGAGTCAGAAGGCAAAGCTCTTAATTTACCGATCGCTCTACATTCCTACCCTCACCTATCGTCATGAAATTTGGGTAGTGAACAATGACTACGTTTACATGCAGCCAATATCCGGGTTATGATCGGGTTAAGGTCGGTATTCGGGTTTCTGAGTTGATCAGAATAACCCGTTTACAAGCATGAATAGAAAGAGTTACCTCTAACTTGCATAACCCGATTTAAATGCGGACGTTGGGGTAGCGTCGGGACGTATGGACTACGTCCAGACGCAATATGCATCATTTCTGGTTCTTCTTGTTCCGGTATCCGTGAAAACAACAACATGTTTCCCAGTTCGGAAGAGATAGCGACCGCGTTTGTTTAGTTTCCTCGTCACTCCAAAAGTGTGGTGCTGTGCCGCGACTCGCCATGTTGCTCCCAACTTGTTTACTTCCGGTGTTCTGGCGCGTACAAGACGTCTCGCTACTCAAAAGACTAAGATTCCTTGCGAACTGAGCAAGCGCAGAACACACACTTTGATGGGGATATCCCGATATGCGTTTACACGACCAAACATTCGGGTTAGAAAAGGGTTACCCCAGGTGTAGTAACCGGGTTTTTAAAAACCCGGTTATGAGCATATCCGGGTTTTTGGCGGTGTTTACATGGACCTGCGGAACCGGGTTATTGTGAATATTCGAGTTTTAAAAGGGTTACTGGCTGCATGTAAACACACTCAATGAAGAAGACAAGCTTTTATATAGCGCCTCTCTAAATAAAAACCACAAGGACTTCACAAAAAACAAAAAAACTTTTTTAAGTATAAAAAGATTTAAAAAATGGTTAAAAATATGTTTAAAAGGAGAAAAGGACAAAAAAGTAAAGAAAGGGAGAGAATAGGAATGAGGGAAATTAATGGCTCCCGGGAAAGGCAGAATAGAACAGAATAAGGAGAGAGTGGTGATGATAGAACGAGATCGCGGACACAAGCATCAGAAAACAGTTTTCTCCGCAGGGTGTCTGGGCTCTCCCTTAGAAATAGGGTGAGAAGCTCGGTCACCCGGGAGGGGCGGAGTAGACTCGCTGCTCCTCCACGTCAAGAGGAGCCAGTTGAGGGGGCTCGGGCGCCTCTCTGGTGAGGTTTTCCGGGCACGTCCAACTGGAAGGAGACCCAAGGAAAGACCCTGGACACGCTTGGAGGGTCAATGTCTCTCGGTTGGCCAGGAAGCGCCTTGGGATTCCCCCGAAGGAGCTTTGGCTGCTGGCCCCGCGACCCGATTCCAAATAAGCAGCTGAAAATGGATGATCTAGGAACATCTGCGGCCCCTTCGTAACCTTCTGGCAGGCCATCGACAGACATTAATACCATTAAAAGTTTAATTTTTTCAAAGTATGCCGTAATTTAATTCTTTAGGGAGACAGAGAGCGGCTGTGAGGCGTAAACAACGGCATTCGATGGCTGTGTCTCAATTCAGGGTCTGCATCCTACCTCGGCCGGATTCGTCGGCCGGTTACGTCACAGCGCCGCGACTCGGCCTGTCCCAATTCGAAGACTCCTTCAAATGCGGTCGACGAATGCGGCCTTCTTTTCGCCTGAATGAAGGATGGGTCGGGTGTATCCTTCAATAGGTAGCATTTCCCAAGATGCCTTGCGGGCCGGCCGGCAGAGAAACTTAAAAACAATGGCGGACAGTGAAGCGGGAGCTGTCGGAGAGGATTGCGCATATAAATGTAAGTATAAACTTGAAAACTGTCAGTTTAAGGACTTTTTGTGATACATGAACGTTATTTTAGTTAGAAATGTAACAGTAAAAGTGCTTGTATTGCGGTCTCGGCTCGTATGTTCGGCCGCGCTCGGTGTCGTACTTCTCCCGCTACGTTTCCCCCTGATTTTAATTGAAGTTTGTATTTTAGGACCAAAAGAGAAAACCAGGGAATTTATTAAGCTTAGGGCGGAGATGGACCACATGATCACCGGAGCAAAGTATTCGGCGGCTGTGGCATGGAGGTACAATAACATCTCATATTTTAAAAACTCGTTTGAGTTTATTTTTTTCTGCGAAAACATGAAAGGAATAACCCGTTGTCCTCTTTTCTCTTCCTGTTTATTTTCTTACATGTTTGTTAAGACTATTCTGGAGAAAATGGGCATCCAGGGGAAGGTGCCAGCGATGACCAGCATCTGGAGCTGATCTGGGAGGAATTGAGGCTGCAGAGGGAGGCAGAGCAGCAGAGAGCACAGGAGAGAAGGAAGAACTTTGACAGCTTTTTACTTTGCTAGAAAAAATGGTTAAGGAAGATTAAACATGTACATGTAAAAGAAATATCTAAATAAAATCAGTTCTGCATTAAACTCTTGAATTTTATTTTTGTTTACAAATGAGAATTGTTTACTAGAGGGTATCCGCTGGGTCTTGAAAAGTCTTAAAAGGTGATAAATCGGTTTTGGTCAAATTAAGACCCTTAGAAAGTATTAAAAACTATTATCACATCTTTGCTCATGCTCAGCTTGTCTAAAGTATTTTCTCTGAATTAGCTCTCCAACAGTCAAGGAAATGATTAACCCCCAGAGACCCACGGTTGTAATATTACAACATCAGATTTAAGTCCACAAAAATAAACCTTCCCCATTTTTTTTCCTTTTTAAAACCACATTTACATTGCTAATAGGTCCTGTTGTTCAGTTCTGCAACACTATTGGCTGTTAAAATGTGTAAATAGGCCCGTTTATCTGGCCTCCTAGAACAACATGTGAAAGGTTAAAAAAATATTTTGCAGTTGTTTTCTAAATTTGGGTTTCTGGGGGTTAAAAAGCTAAATAAAACGTCGAGCTCCATCGTTTAAGGTTCCTTCTACCCAGCGGTTCCACGGTTGCTAGGCGACGGCCGAGGGAGTTCATGAAGGCTAGGCCTGTCCAAATTCACAGCCGTTAACATCCGGTCTACCCGGCCGACGGAGGACGCAGCCCACGTCGGCCGGGTGGGCTGGGTCCTTCGAAGGATGCAGACCCTGAATTGAGACACAGCCAATGATCGGGGGAAGCACCATTTTTTTAATGGTACTTTGTGAGACAACAAAGCACAGTGAATTACAACTTCAACAGAGATTTTTTATGTAATTTTTAGTGTCGGGAGTATGGAAAGACTATTTAAAAGCATTGGTAAGGGTGCTTTTTCTCCCTTTCCCATTAAATGGTCAGGAAAGTGGTCGTTTTGGGCCCACTTGTTGAAATGGAGACACCTGCATGCTGTAAGGGAGCATGTAAAATTACCCAGAAGCTCCTATAGTGGAAACTAACCTATTGTTTTTTTTTTACCATGCATGAGTGTAGACGTCACATCTTCTCAGGAACAATGATGTTTGATGGCTGGAATGATGCATTCTCCACTAGATGTGCTTTCACGACTAAATTAAATCCCACTAATTCAAAGAGGATGATGCAATTTCTTCCAAAGTAGGAAAGCTTTGTTGCAAAATCATCACAACTTTTCATAAGTGATTCATAAGTGATCTAATTAATCATCTGCCAGTGTTAATGACTATTTTTATTAGTTAAAAGTGAGATTGTGTCAACACTTTATTGAATCTATAAATAAGGCTCTTTATCTCTGAATAATTATATTAACTTAATGTATTTTTTTTCTGTAAGAAGAAAAAAATCTCTGAATTTCCACAAACATAAATTGTTCTGCAGAACCAACAAAGGCATTAGAGACCATATCACTAGTAGATAGTTAGTTGTCCATAACCAGCTGGGATGGACGTTGACCAACATGCTAATTTTCCTGTTGATCCGGTCTGGAGCTCAGAGACAGGAAGTGTTCAGAGTAGAAGCACAGGAAGTGCAGGACCAGAGTCGCCAGAAGGGCATCCTGGGTGGGGCGGTCAGGACGGAGAATACCTCTGTGAAGGGTTCAGTCCCACTTCCTCTTTTATTAAGATCTCACAAATAGATGTGTGTCACAAACATATGCTGTGTGGCTAAACATGCACTGTCTGCATGACAACCGTGTAACACTGCAACAAAAAATAGAGCAGACACTAATCGGACCTCAAAACAGGAATTATCTTTAAATAGTTTGGTATTGTATTAAACGTTTTGCCTACTTAAACACTTTATTTCCATGTAATTAAAATTCTGATGATCTGGTCGGACTAGGTTCCTCACACAACTCACGGATGAAAAAGCCTGACTTTGTGTAACTGCTGTGAAAACTGAACAGCTCATTTAGAATAACGGCTGTGAAGAATAAACACGTCGAATCAAGACTATATTGTTTCTGTGCGATCCAGCAAAGTCCTGTGTTACCGGGCAGCATCAAAACCACACAAAAAACACAGCAAAGACTTTACTTTCACTTTTAAAATGACAGATGTGGCCAGTGCTTTCCCAATACCTCCACATTTTCACATTCATTAGACACAGCAAGGTTCCTGTTTTGATCTCCCCATGCTGAAAGAGGTTTTGTGTGAAGGAATGACTCAAGCTGTTCTAATTATTCACATGTGGGATCACACCATCCAGGGTACAGAGACGCTCTGCTACGGATGGATGCAGGCCGAGGGAAACATGTTTTCCACCTCCGATCATTAGTGGTGTGTGTGTTTCAAAAATAAATAGTCGGATCGATGTAAATGTGTGACCTTTATGGTCCATTTGAACCCGTAATCTTAAATATCGAGGTCATCGCATCAGAAGAAACCTACATGATGTGATTCTTGGTGGTGTGTTGATCTGCAACAAAATGATTAATCACGCGTGAGGCAAACACACAATTATCAAATGAAAAGAGTGCCTGTTACCTAATAGGTGGTGTAACAAAAGGGTGTAGGTCTGACAGCAGCCAGCTCCTTTCATCCATCCAGAAGCCACATCTTCCCAGCCACACCTTCCCCTCCCACTCTCATTCAATCCCCCTACTTGGCCTGTAATTTACCCAACTGCTGAGCAGAAATTACCTCAAGTCAAGCCTGTGACCCAACTGTGCTGCCAAGCTTCAGATTTTTACCTCTTTTAAGTCATAAAACTCAGATGAGGCCAGAGTTGAGAGACAGGCATGTGACAGAGGAGGGTGAAAGGTCACCACCAAGCTTATTTGACAAGCTGCACATATGTTGGGAACTCAGTGATAACACTGGGATGTTTCGACAAGAATTGCACAACAGCTGATACAGTGTGTTGAAACGTAAACACAACAAAGCGGTTAAAGACACAGGTGACTGATATTTCCAGTTAAGGACATGTGGGACAGTAGAGCAGCCCATCACAACTTCAGATGGATTAAAATCATCATCCAACTCTTTTAGTTCTAGGCTGCAATTCTCCATTTTTAACCCAGCCTCCTGTATTTTCCTATCATTAGTGGGGGCGGTGAAGCCTGATGGTTAGACCTTACACCAGCCAGCTGCTCTGCTGAAGGAAAACATCCACCCAGCTCAGGGTCCTGAGTAAAGATGTGTGGAAATGGGAGTTTTCTCAGCAGTTCTTCCTCAAGCCTGATCCACGAGTGGCTGTTGACGTGTTCGTGTTGATACGACCACGTCTGGTCTCACGTGGGAATAGTCTGATCGCTCTAATTCAACTTTCCTCAGTGCTGTCTACGTGGTTTGGTTTTACTCACTAGTGTTCAAGCGGCCTGTGGGACAACTGAGCATGCGCACACGCACACGAACGAATCCTAACTTCTTTTTTTTTTCATTTGAGACCAACGCCTTGCATTGTGGTACAATCACGCCCGCAAATGAATCAATGACAAGAGCTAAAGAGACACTTTTACAGCCGGGAAGGGGAATGTGAAAACAACAGTTTTAACCAGGGAAAATGGCAGAAAGAGGCGGTTTAGGAGTCGAGAGAAAAGTCTTAAAGGAGAAAAAAAGAGGAGTCAACTGTCTCACTTTCTCTCGGAGCTCTCGTTCACTGTCCAGCTCTTTCTGTAGGACCTGAGCTCGGTCCTCCGCGTCGTCGGCCTGCTGCTGCAAACTCTGGATCTTCCTCTTCACAGCATCCAGAGAGTTCATACCTGCCATTGTTCCCGGGTTGGTTACTTTAAGACTACAGGAGGGAAAAGAAAAAAAACTACTTCTAAGTTGTGGAGAAACGCGTGCGCTACTGCGTCCTACTACGGTGTTTTATCAAAGGTAGAAAACTAGTTTGGTCGCTGATTTAGGAGACGATACGCGACGTACGTCCTGGACCTAAATCTTTGGAATGTAAAAGAGGTCCAGCAAAAGTGTAAAAAGTTAAATACAGGAGTGTCCAGGTGTTGTCCAGACGTTTCTTCTGCTCGGGAGGACTGAAGGGACCATGGGCAGATCAGGAATGCGCGAAACAGGTTTGGTCCGGGGTTTGAGGAGGAGCGGAGCCGTTATGAGATGAGCAGAGCGGAGCAGAGAGAGCTCAGCGGCAGAGTGAAAAAGAGGAGTCTGGGACGGCGCGTGATGTCACGCAAGGGCGGGGCACCCGTGCGTGGTGTGCGTAGAAAAATATGTGACTGATTCTATGATTTTCTTTTAGCATAGGGGGATTAAACGTGTCATATTAGTCTTTTATTAGCCGATAAAATACAGTTTTCATTTTTGCGCATTACACCCCAGAGTTGTCCTATGGTAAATACACAAAACATGTTTATAAAGTTTTTGCACTAAATCCCAAAGTGATTTCCGCAGTGTTAATTTTGACAGTTTCAGTACCTTCCAGAATGAGTCTTTCAGGGCTCTGTAACTTGGCCACGCCCACCAACCCTATTATTTATAAAGTTAGGCATACACCTGCCTCAACTCTAGAATTCAGCTCCATCCCAAATTGTAGACTTCCTTGCAGAGCAAAGCACCCAGTGCTTGGATGTGACCTCACTACTCACACGGTATTTGTGGTAGCAACACATCAGACCTGAAAATGTGCTAAAATAGTTTTAACACAATGGACACCTTGGACACGCTTATATCCGTGCGACCACACAATTGCCGGAGATGCCAATTGCCTCTTGTAACCCCGTGTGTACAGGAAGCCTTAGTCTCCTCCCTTTCCAATCGGCTCGTGGGTCCCTGGAAGAACGAAAAAATGAACGCAACGGGGCTAAAAGAGCTATTTTCTATTCCGCTTTTCCTCATGGATCGCACATATGTTGTAGTTCAATTTAAATGAAGAGTATGAATGTGTGTTTCAACCACACCTGACATGCACTTTGAGATGTATCAGCTTGTAAAAGTTTGTAACTATCTTCCAACTTTGTTGACTAAATCAGACATCGGCACGTCGCATTTATGAGGTCACCACAGAATCTCTTCTCTTCTAGCGTAGCTGCTATAACCAAATAGCCAGATTGTTTTTTTCCTCCTGAAGGAAGGATTTGAAGTTTGCTGAACTGACAGCCATTTTCCCTCGGTTTTCTCCAAGTCTGGTACAATGACGTCACTTTTGTGATGCACATTTGTAGTCCTGGAGTTATTTTCACACAAAACCTAAAAGTAAGTTTTCCCCCGTTTGAAAATAAACGCTTTCTTGGTATCAAAATGCGTCTTTAAAATTCACAGACATCATATGTGAAATCCATGGAACATAACAAACGGAATTAGAAAATTGCTTTTTTTGCCCTATTGACTTGCATTAATTTTTTCGTTTATCCGGGGACCCATGGTGCGGAAGTAGATGGGCGTGACTTAGGCTCCCTATATTACTCAACGCAAAGCTCACTCCAGCCTAAAAGATACTCACACAAGAGGAAAACCGACTCAGAACTGTCAAAGAAATTGCACAGTGCACACCTGGCTTAAGCTGAGAATCTGTGATATCTGGGAGGGGTTTGGAGTCCAGCTGCTGCTCCTCCAGGTGCAGCTCTCTCTCTCTTGCAAATGGTGGATCTGTTCTGATTTTCCCATTTGTGGCATCACAAACTTTGCATTTTTTGAAACAGCTTGTTTGAAACACATCGTTCCTAACACTGGATGGGTTTTTCCATGTTTGAAGTGTTTATACAGAGGCAGTAGAGACATGCAACAATATGCTTAATACAGCATGTCCCCACGATGACAGTAGAAACAACCGCCACCATTAAAGCTGAAGCTTTAAATAAGGTCCCAAGGAAATGACTGTGTCCACTATAAACACCAAGGCGTTTTTTAAAGTGGTATATTGTAATTAAATTATACTTAAATTTTACTCTTACGTGTTACAAATTGTTCAAAGGGAAAAAAAACTGTATTTAACTAGAACAAGAAATGGAACTGGAAGCTGAGGCCAACACAAAGTTTTACTTCCTCAGTGTAAACAAGTGGAAATTTTCCCAATACACACAAAAAGTAATCTCAGATCATTCTTTTTCAGGTATTGACCTTTATTGAATCACATTGTTGCTGTTGTTTAAATCAAACTTTAATTATTTGATTCTAAAACCACAATAAGAGCCAGCAGGTAGGACCTACAAACCTACATGCTGAATACTCAGACTCTAGTTGCATTATTAGAACATGGAGTATGGAAACGGGATATCAGGGCTGCACTTTCCAAGAATGAATGGAGGTGGAGACACCTGGTCTATCTGTATGATTCATAGTGGCATGACTGCAATTGCTTAATTAGATGTCTAAAAGAAGTTTAATCCACATAGGATTAATGTTGATGATCTACCCATCTCTACAAACAGTACAGGAAAACCACTTTTTGTTCACTGTGGTCATTTTTCCCCAAGTCTTATTAATTTAATACATTACCAACCAAACCTTCTTTCCACATCAGTGTCATCATGTATGAATCAACCGTGGTTGAACAGAGATGTTGCAGCTGACCTACTGCTGTTAAGCCTCTGAGCAGACAAACTTAGGTCATCACAAAGCCGAGCTGGGAAGTACGGCCACATCCCATTTCCTGTGAATTCTGACCAGACGGATGAGCCAATGGCCAGCCTGGATGGGGGGTGTCATGAATCTGATTGGTTAAACTTAATCTCAAATATCTTTATAGCAGTTTATGAAAACTTTGCTTTGTTTTTTTACACGACCATTAACAACACTTTGAATAGTTATTTCCATTGAATTGTGTGTTAGTTTTTTGAAATGAAACATATTTTTGGCCAGCTACTGTAGGACTTTTGACTGGAATAATTCAGTCAGAAAACCATGAGATGTGAAATTAATGGCAATGCAAAGGTTGTCAAATAACATAATTCTCTGAGATTGAAAAGGTTTTAAAACACATTACAGCTGTCCTTGTTGAAACTGGCAGTTGGCCTATTTTATTTGATCAAAATTAATCTCTGTTTCTCCAAATTGATGCATTAAAAGGACTGATCATACACATATTTCAAAAGAAAAAAAATATTATACGTAAAATCATCAAAAACTAAATTTCAGAGCTTGACACACTATGGCTGTGTCCAAATTCAGGGGTTGCATGCTCATGAGTACCCGTCCTCATTGGTCTCGTGTTCTTCCGTGACCAGTTAGGTCAGATGTTAACAACCGTGAATTGGGACCATCTAGCCTTAAATAATAGTCCCGCCCCTACGTCGGCAGATGTCCTCCTGTCACCTAGCTGCTACCGCACTAAGGCCTAGTCCATCCGCCCCTCCAAAAACTTGCATCCACACCACCGCATTTAAAAAAAAAACTGTCCACACGTACCCGGATAAATACGTTGTTAAGGACATGCCAGACCTGTAGGCGGCAGTACTTCCCCCGTTCTTAACCTCGTCCTTCGTCTGTGGTCTTCCGCAAGGAGCAGTAATTCCGCTTGCAAAAACAAACAAGCAGAAAGCGCTTGGACAGTTGATGGATCGGGTAGTGACAGAGCGCAGCTCTGAGGGCTTCCATGATGCCGGCTAGTGTAAACACAGGTCGCACACGTGATGTCAGCATTTTTTTGTCGTGGAAAGTGACGCTGCGGACCTTAAAACTCCGGTTTTGTCTGTCCACACGCAGACACCCAAAATGGAGAAAACGCAGATCTTCACTTTGGCCGGAGTTTTTAAAAAGATCCGTTTTCGTGTGAAAAAACTCCGTTTTTCGTGTGGATGACAGGCCAAAACGTAGGAAAATATCTACGTTTTGGCAGATCCCCGGCTACGTGTGGACAGGGCCTAAGAAGTAGCTGCAGAAATGGAGCTTACAGATGTTTTAAACTTTTCCCTTGTTTTGTTAGTGTTTGAAGAGCTGCAGCAGATGTACAGCCGGCGCCAGAATATGTATGCCAGGGTGAGGCGCAATGATACACTAGAATTGTATTATTTGCCTTTTTTACGTCTTGGAGCTCTTACCAACTTCATGTCAGCACTAGCTTCACGACGTGAGTAATTTGGGGTACTGAAAAACATGAAAATGCTACTGTGTTTCACATCTATCTGTGTGATATCCCGCAGTGCATCTCTGGATTTATAGAGGTGAGGAGACTACACCACACCTGTTCTCAAAATTGAGGAAAAGAAGGACGAATAAAAAAAAACACATTCTAAGCACTCTTTGAATTTTGACAGTTTTTGTTGCGGCGCAGTGGCGTCACTGGTCTTAAAATCCAACCTAATGAGCATGCAACCCCTGAATTTGGACACAGGCATTGTGTTCTGACTCTTAAATGAGAAAATACTTATATTTGTTTGTTCATTTGATTTATGAGCTCAAACATTCTTGAAGTGTGCCTCTGAAGAATCGACATTTGAAGGGTCAAATGAACAAACAATAGCTATCTGAGTGTGAGTCCATCCTTAGTTAAAGGGGCCATATCATGGAAAATCCACTTTTTGGACACAGGTCAAGTGTTTTACAGTGTGATATTGTTATTTCCTCACCCAAACCCGTTTTGGCTACATTCATGCATTTTTCCTAGCCTGGCCTGCCAGACTCCTCCTCTGTTTAATTATGCACAGAGAAAGGGTCTGGGAACTCTCCTATTTAAATAACCCCACCCCAGAGAATTCTATCCAAGATCAAGCCAATCAGCGCTGAGTAACGTACGTCACACACCATAACGCCAAGTTTGTCGTAAACATGGCGACTGAAGCGGAGTTCGCTGCGGCTCTTTTCTCTGTTCTAAATGACTTGTCTTTAAAACCACAACAAGTAGAAGCGCTAAAAGCCTTTCTTCTATAAAAAAAATAAACAAATAAAGATGTTTGTGTCGTTGCCAGACGTGATTTTTTTACTACAGCTAAAAAACTACAGCGTTGGGCGGTACAGTCGCCATTTCAGTCTTTTTTCTGATTGGTTATTTTTGAGCTGCCTAGTCCCGCCCCTCATGTGCCTCTTTGCCTGTGAGTTACCAGACTCGTTCTCTGTGCAGAATTTAACAGAGGACGTGTCTGGCAGGCCAGGCAAGCATTTTCCTGTCTCAGGTGCAAATTTTGAGTTTTACTTGGAAAATCCGCCATCTGGTCATTATGCCTTGCTCCTCTCCCAGAAACTAGTCTCTGGTCTGAAACCTGCCTC